CAAAATCCTAATTTGATATGATTCTGGAAAATACACATCTGTACCAGAGCATCTCATTGTTCTTTTTAGTCTTCCAGAACGTACTGTAGGGCTCAATCCTGCAGTGGCAAGGGGGATGGACAATATAACCTAGAAGGCTGCTTCTTTAGCTACTTTCCATGGTTCTTATATTTTTACCAGCCCTAGACAGAATCAGAGTTCTAAATGAGCCAACATAACTGGTATAGCCTACTCTAGTTTTTGGCAGTAGGACAGTGCTAATAGTCCCTTGGGGAATAGTTGCTTTCATGACTAATTCCAGCCAATGTCAGATGAGGATTGCTCCCACACATAGTTAGTGGACTTGGCAGCAATAGGCGCCTGCATTGGATGCCTCATTACCTCAGGGCTTGCAGTAGCAGGAAAAGACCAAATGCAGAGTTTGCACTGAGGATCCCAAGAGCAGGAAAAAGTAGCAGGTCGAAACCACACAAACATTCCCTGCATAGGGAGCAGGACATGTAATCTGGGTCCAGGGTGGCTGACGTCTGCTGGTACATGTTGGGATAGGAACAGAAAGAGCAGAAGAAAGAACTGTCAGTGGAATGAGGAAATGAAGAGGCATGAGAAAGGATAGTGCTCAGATAGCAAAAGCTGAGGTAGATAGGCTGGCAGAAAGACATGAGAGGCAGAGGAAGGAATAGGAGAGAGAGAGACAGACAGACATAGGAAGGGGAAATGGAGAGGTTGGTGGCAGAAAGACAGAGCCGTGAAAAGAAAGAAAAAAAAACAGGGATGCAGAGAAAGTGTAAGGAAAAGACTGAAATATGGGGACCCCATAGAAGAATGGAGAGAGAGAGGAGGAGAGCTAGGGAAGCAACGGACAGGAAGAAAGAGAAAAAGCAAACAAAACGACGCAGGAATCAGCAGAGCAAGGAGTGAAGATGGGGGAAAGCAATACAAAAAAATGTTTCAGGTTACTATATTTTAGGTAATTTAGTCATCTTCTTCCATGAACAATGAGAGGGAGTCCATTGGAAGGGGAGGGGCTGATTGCAGTCTAGTGGAGAAGAGTCAGGTAAAGGCTAACCAGGGGGAATGAGCAGGTGGACAACACCAAGGCTCACATGTCCCCTGTATCCTCAGTGCTCCAGCCAATGCTCTAAAGATGTTTATTAGTTTCAGTTACAATATGCACATTATTACAAGAGCCCTTTGGACTGCTAAGAGAGAAACATGTATGTCGTGCTGCTGCTCCTGACAACATTGGGCTTCTAATGGAACACTCTGGCCTCGACTTTGTGTACCTTTTCAGTGAATTCTGTGATCACAAAGAAACTCACAAAACTTTGACACGGTGTTGGCAGGAAAACTAGGAGAGAGTCATTATTCCTCTTCAGGATACCTGAGGCAAAATGTGCATGAAGAGTTTGCCTCAGGTTTCTGCAAGGGAAACATGGTCCCAAGCAGTTTGCAGTTAGCTTGCAATCAGTGCTTGAGGTGGAGCATTGTTGCCACTCCCTCTCTCATACACATCATGGCCAAAGAGAGTTAAAGACGAGAGAGGATCACCAGATGGAAGGGGAGTTCCTTTGGTTACAAAACTTATGCTGCTTAACCCATATAGTTTCGGAAGCATAGAGACGAAGCAGTGCCAGGCATGACACTGCAATGGTGCCCAGCTGCCAGAGTAATTCTCTGCTTAGGCTTCCAGATGCATGTGTGTGAAGAGTGACCCTCTCAACAATGGCATCAGTGCTTTTTGCTAAAGGAGTCCTTCGTGGTATCGACACTACATGCTTTTTGACTGAAAGAAAAATGGGTCACCAATGGGTGAAACAATATCACTGTCTGCTTTCACCTACGAAATTAAAAATGCCTGAGATTACCAAGGGTTTCTCCCATTTCTCCGTTAAAAGTGGTGTCCCGTGTTGTGTTCTTCACTGGTTACATTTCAAATAAATAAACCTTGGTTTGAGCACAAAATGAAGAAAATCCTGTAACCCCAGGGATCTTCTTCCAGTGAATACACCCATTGTTACTTTAATATGTGTTACACTAAAAATTCAAAACATCTTGACTAGGAGTGTGTTGCCTGCTGAGAAGCTTCCGTGAAGCAAGCCAGATGTTTCCAATTGTGAACCATTTGGGACTTCCCACGACATGAGCAGTTTGGGATATACCCTGAACTTAGCGATTTGTGTTATTTCAGTGTTTTAAGTCTGTGGGCCTAATTCTCATTTATACAAGGCCCCAGAATGGTGTGAAGGGCCTTACTGAGAGACTCAGACCCAGAATGCTATCGTCTATCATTAAGACAAAGAGAGAGAGAAAAAAAACCCAAAGAACAGCTCCATCCTTATTCATTTTGTAGCTGATATCTCAGTAGGCTTTTCTTAGAGCCCCATTTATAAACCATTCACAGGCTGGCTCAATGAAGAGCAGCTTCGGCAATTGGGTAAAAAGTATGTGTCTTTTATGTATCTGCTGTGATGGTATTCACTTTCAAGATACTCGAGTACAAAAAACGTAGGGCACTGTCCTGTGAGGTGCTGAGTTCCCCCTGGGAAGTGCCAATTAGTGTCAGTTTTCATTGACTTCTAGAGGTGTTGTGGGTGCTCAGCACATAGCAGAATCAGGCTGTTGCTCATTACAAAAAAAAAAAATCTTCACTTTTATGGGTGACCCAGGCCATGGTAAGCCCCTCCCATCCCTTTTCAGTGCCAACTTTCCATGTTGGGAGTGCAGATTAAATGCAGAGGGTCATGGGTTTGGCTCTAGCGGCATTTTGTTAACACCACATTGTTACTGATTTAGAGGGAAAACATGTAAAAATTCTGAGAGGAGTGCCTTGGCCACAGCATGCGGACCCAGTCTTGCAGAGGTTGGGCTGCATTCAGCACTATTATGATTCCACTGATTTCATGAGGTTCTACTGCTTTTCATTTGGTTCATTGTGCCCAGTATACAAGGTCACTTTTACCAGCAGACAAATATTGTAACTGAACACCGATTCAGCCAGCATAAAAGTTGAGACCTAAACCCACAAAAGAAAAGAAGGACTGCAAGGGGAAGCTGCTGCTACATCTAGTTAACTCCAGTCCAGCCCCTGCATTATAGCACATATTAGACTCTTCTATTAGATGCTGTTAATTCTGGACAATGTTACATATCCTGCATGTATTGCTCTCCTTCCCCACTTTCCAAACAGATTGTAGCACAAATAAAATAAACAAAACCAAAACTCTATCCTTGTCTATCCTACATCACCAAAAAGTTACACTTTACTTTGCTTTTACTATTGTTAAAATATTAAAACCAATTCCTACTGTTTCCCTCACATATAGTGCACAGGGAAACGGGCAAACTCCTATTCATACAGCAAACTATTATACATGGAGGTTTTGTTACCTGCGGAATGTAAGGAGTAGACAGTTAGTAGCAAATAAGTAAAAGACTTCTGTCAACCAGAGTCTAGTACAGATGGTGCCATACAACATGATTTTGGTGATTCAAACTTGATTTTCAAAGCAGTCTCTCTCACACGGACTGAAATATTAATCACCATCATTAAGATCTTACCAACACTTGGTGCTTGCCAACCTGTAGGACTCTCAGTCCTGAGAAACTGAGGTAGTTATTCTCCTCTTCAGCCCTCATTTGCTCTCATATTTTGAGCAAGTCAGTTTATCGCTCTGTGCTATAATTTCTCATTGGCAAAACTGGGATAATACTTCTCTTCCTATGTAAAGCAGTTTGAGATACTTGGATGAAAGATGTTAAGGGCAAAGAATTACTATCAGAGCCAATCAAAAATTTTCTAATCAAGTTTTTTCAAAGAAAGATAGCCTTTTTGCAAAAATATTGGTTTGCAAATTGTGGTCTATATATTTGTAAACAAATACTGTGTGAAATTTGTATCTATATATAAAATTTGCAAACAAATATATATTATACATTATATTTTATGTATATGTAATTTCATTTTTTGAAGAAAATTGGGGCCTCTTTTTTAATTGAAAACATTAATGAAAATGTTATCAGTATTTTTCCGTTTACCAAAAACCAGGATTTTCAATAAATGCTGGAAAACACAGCTTTTGGTAAATGCAAATTGTTGATAATCATTTTGATAACACTTTTGATAATGTTTTCAATAAAATGTTAAAAAGTTGCAAAAATATTAAACATGGTTCATCTTAGAATATTTCATAACTGAAAACAAGTACAAAATTTTGAATATTTTTGAAAAATAATACTATATTTTTTCTTTTTGAACAGCTCTAATTACCTTTATTCTCCTGTATTAGTTATCAAGGAGAGATGATTCCAAAAGACTTAGTTTATGCCTGGATCTGACTTTAGATCTGAAGTGTGTCTGTGAAGCAGAAACAGTGCAGTCTAAATCCTGCAAGTCTAAAGCACTTATTGTGTGACCTTGGTCAAGTCACTTACCTCTTTGAATTCCAGTTTACCCATCTTTCAAATGGGGTATAATACTTACCTAATGAGTGTAGTGTGAGGTCTCATTAATGTTTGTAAAAGGTTGAGGAAGAGGTTGCACAATTTTCCATTCCTGTCCTCTCTAAAAAGATTTATTAAAACACTGAACTAACACGATGGGTACAATGCAAAACTAAATACCCTCATGACATTATATTGTGCCAGTTTCCCTTCCATTCACGCTACTTTCCTTATGCCATATCATACCTTACCTAATCTAGATTGTAATGTCCCCAGGGAGGTAGCTGTGTTGTTTGTTAGTTCGTGACGCACCATACAGAATGTTGTCCTGTATGCAGAGGAGTGAAGTGCTTTGAGATCCTAGCCCTAAGACACTTCAGAAGTATGACATTTTAAATAAAATAATGGAAGGTCAAAGCTCAAAGCAGCAATTCATGTAAATAGCTAGGTTATTTCAGAGTCATGTTTTTCAGTTCCTCAACCTAATTTCTTCATTTAAAACAACAGGTGGCTGTTCCCATTTTAATATTCTGGACTTTTTCTATGTTCCTTGACAGATGTACATTCAAGGAAAGCTGCTCTTTGCCAATTATATTTTCAATGGATATAGCAAGTCAGCTAAAGACCTTCAAAAACAAATAGCAAAGACCAGGAGTGATTACCATATGGGCTACTGTCTACCCAACGATTTCAGATTCAGGTATTTTGCTTTTTCTGTATCTAGTCACCTCATTCTGAGAGCTTTGGTTTCTTTGTCCAGTTTTTTTAAATGTAATTTGTTGCAATCCAAAACAACATAGGCAGTATTTTCAATATCAAAGGGATGCTATTTATGACGAGTATCGGGGGTAGCCATTGTTAGGGGGCTTATTCCTTCACCCACTTACTTCCTTGGTCCTTCTCGCATGAACAGAGAGCAACAATACCCAAAGTCCAGAGGTGCAAACAATTTGATGTTTATTGGGGTGAACTTCCAGCAAGCATGATTCCAGTTTCCTTCCTTAGTGTCCCCCTCCCCAGCTCTGACACCACAGAGCCTTACCTCTGTCCCTGTTCCCATTCTTGCCCTTAGCAAAACATGATTCCAATTCCCTACCTCCATTCCCTGTTCCCATTTCCCCCCCCCCCCACACACACACTTCCTGATTGACTGCAGACTATATAGTAAAACTTGAGTTCTGCTTAGCTATACCGTAACCAATCATTTTACAGCAATTTAACTAACCAATCCTAACATATTGTAACATGATTATGTAACCAATTATATCCCACCACCTTAATTAGTTTACACCCAGCAAAATTAATTATACAGCAGACAGGAACAATCACAGAACCAGACAGAGATTATGCAGACAAACAATAGGGAAATGGGGACTACAGTAACAGAACAAACACAGAAATGAGGATTTCACATCCCAGCTATTGATAAGTGAGTTCTTGCCAGACAGAAAACTATCATCCTAAATTTCCTTTTACATCTTCTAGGCTCTTCCCTTTCTGTGGAGGTGATAGATCGGATCACCTTCCTAACAGCCCCATATTGACTAGTTTGGAACATGAGGATGTGACTGTTCACTTCCCAGCTTATGGCTGCCTCTGCTGCTTAGCCAAAGATCTTCGCCTAAGAACAGGGCCTCAGACTGTCACAGTGAGAGAAGGCCCTTACACCGGCAGACAGTAATTTTGATTCTTTCTTTTATACCTCTATAACTAGCCAAGTGATAAGAATACACCTAAATTCTTACAGTATAGGCCTTTACAGACAGGCCTGAATATCTATATCCTAACAGCCGTGTTAGTCTGTATCCACAAAAACAACAAGGAGTCCGGTGTCACTTTAAAGACTAACAGACTTATTTGAGCACAAGCTTTTGTGAGTAAAAACCCCACTTCTTCAGATGCATGGAGTGAAAATTACAGATGCAGACATCTCAGTGGTTTGAGCATTGGACTGCTAAACCCACGGTTGTGAACTCAATCCTTGAGGGGGCCATTTAGGGGTCTGGGGCAAAAGTTGGGGATTGGCCCTGCTTTGAACAGGGGGTTGGACTAGATGACCTCCTGAGGTCCCTTCCAACCCTGATATTCTATGATTTCCCAGATAGAGTGTACAGCCCTTTGCTGGGAAGATTTTAGCTACCTCTGACAGATACCAGAGGGATCTGTCTTTTTTTATACACATTTAGCTTGTCATGCCAATAAAATCTCATTGAATTTAACTGCAAAATGGTAGAAAATAGCTGCCAGCTTGGTTAGATCATATTTTCTCGGACGTAAACTTGTCACTTCACATGCAAACAGCCAGAACACATACTGGAGGAGGAAAGGGGTTAGGGATAAGGTATGGCAGATAATTAATGGTATGTTTTCAAAAGCACTCAGGACCTGACTCTGCTCTCATTGAAGTCAATAGTGAACTCCCACTGACTTCAACAGGAGGAGAATTAGGCAAACACTGATTTAGGCCGGCCGATGCCTACACTAGAGAGCTTACAGCAGCACAGCTGTACTGCTGTATCTGTGCGGCTGTAAGATCCCTTGTGTAGCTGCTCTATGCCGGCGGGAGAGCTCTTCCATCAACATTGAGTGGCAGTAGCTGTGTCAGGGGAAGATGCTCTCCTGCTGACACAACGCTGTCCACACCGGCACTTCTGTTAGCGTAACTTACGTCACTCGGGGGGTGGTTTTTTTTCACATCCCTGAGCGATATAAGTTATAGCGACAAAAGCGCTAGTGTAGACATAACCTTAGTTAGTTCTCTTGCTATCTGGGCAAGGTAGAAGTCACCAAACATGTTATGTGCATCCATGCTGTCATGTCCTGAACCAAAACTGGTGCATGACAAGGTAGAATGCCTGTAAGGGACAGGTTTAAGAGTAGTAGGTTGTGGGGGGTGGGTGGGTGGGGAAGCTTTTCCATCCTGCTTTCATATGGCCAAAGTGATGTTTCTCACAGGGAAGTTGGTAGGCATTTGGAGCAAATGACCATACCGTCTTAGAGAGTGTTGGGCGACTGTTTGAGAGAATGGGGCCTGCTTAGTTAGAACACTGATCTCTTAATTCAACTTGAATTCAAACCATTTGATGTTTTCAGTCACACAGAGATGCTTTATCTGAATGGAGTCCAACTTCTTTTCTTGTCCAACTTCTTTTCTATCTTGACAGTGAGGGGCCATGTTTCAGTCTCATAAATCAGGATGACTCACTACCGAAGCATTGTGTATCCTCCGCTTTGTCTCTCTACTTACCAGGGTGTTTGAATTGCAAAAGATGTTCTTGATGAAGTGCTCCATTACTGACTATGCTTTTGCAAGGCTGAGTATTTTTGAAAATCTCACTCTGGGAAAAGGAGTACTAGCATGGACACGCTGCTGATGTGATGTCACCTAGACCAGCTCTGAGCATGATCAGTTGACATATTTGTCAGAGTAGCGGTGGCTGATCTATATTTGAGCTCTCAGTGTTGCTGCCACTTATGGTAGTGCAAGGTTGGGGCATTTTTAGAAAAATGCTAGGACAGAGACAGCTTACTATGGGCTTGACTGTCCATGATCGGAGATCAATCCACCTCCTGGAAGAACCTCTGGGAGGGGAAACTTGCACAGGATACTTTGTGGGTTTGCCAAGGGATGATGCCCCAGCTGTTTCCCTTAGTCACCCCACCTCCATAACCTGTAGATTCCCAACAGTGCAGGGAAAGAGTGTGTATGCCATGTTAACTGTCTTTCGTCTCCCTCCCAATACCTTTTGGCCCACTGGAGTGGGATTTTGACTATGTTCATCCCCTCCATGGTGTGAAGTGGAGAGAATGATGTCCACACACAGTTTCTACAGTTGGGAAGATCAGACGAACAATCTGTGACACCAGTGGGGATTAGTATTGCGAATGAGCAAGCTGATCCAGGCAGATTGCAGACGTTCTCCACCCAAACTCAAACTGAACTTTTTGGAACTTTGCATTTCTCCTCACAACCTCTCCCCCAAGTTTTTACATGGGTCAGTTGTTTCTAAGTGCTGGGCAGAAACGGAAGCAGAATACCAAGCCAGAGGCTGTTCTTTTAGCGTTTCCATCCCAAATGAAAGCAGAAGCTACTAGAAACATTGCAAGGAATTGTTCTTTTAAGCTTTCCAGCCTGGGTTTTAATACACAGATCCAAGAGGTCAAGATATTTCAGATATCCTTTGGATTAATACAGTATATGAACCCTAGGACACACACCCAGAATAGACCTATTGTACAGAACTAATTAGCATGGAGGAGAAGGGACAGAAGTTGTTCGAGATAGAAATGACCTATGAGATCAAAATTTCATGCCCTAGATAGATAAGATAGTGCCCTTCCCCAATACTTCCATTTCCCTAAGAGAGAATGTATCGAATGTTAAATTAACAAGAAATCTTACCCAAAGAGCTGGAGAAAAGTGCAGGAGATGGAATGGTACTGGTGTGGGGGTGCCTTTTCCAGAACTGCCTGCTCGTGCTAATGCTGTTTTCTTTATTTGAACCTAACTAATCAGCATCTTTGCCACACAAATCAGCGTTATCTCTGAAACGATGATAAGGCTGTGGAAAACGAAGCTCTGTGTGCGTCACTAGGCTTAGAGCAGCTGGAGGGGGTCTGTGTGTGCATTTATGTAATTAATATAGCTTCCAGATCCAACAGTTTGCCTCTTTGTAGGTTACCCAACAGTTACATGGAGTGTCTGAGTTCTCTTTTCTACCGTAGTAAATCCCCCTCCCCAATAAGGTCTCCTCCTGCTCCCCCCTCCATTGGTGCTGCATCAGCACCATGACCCAGGCTCATGACTTCCATATAATTTTTTCAGTTTCTATTTCCCTGAACTTCCAGGAAGTGCCCAATCCAAACTGGGTCTCTCTCCACCACGTTAAGAATCTAGTACTTCCTTGCTTCTGTTTCCATCACTAAAGTGCCCCTCGACGCTTTGCACATCTTCTGCCTGAGCTACTGCATCCTTTTTCTCTCTGGCCTTTCACCTTGCTCCCCTTTCCAGTCCATTCAGAACGCTGTGGCTGAAAGTTAAAAATTTAGTTCTCTTACCTGTAATTTTGTCTTACGGGAGGCAAAAGGTTCCTTCTCTCCTTGTTAGGTCGGTCTGCCTGTTAGCACCCTCTACTGGCATGCCTGGTAAATGGCATTGATGTTGCTTCCCAGGTTAGGTTGCCAAAGCTAAGAAGAATGAAGAAAAAGCTAGAAACTACAACGATTAGCTCTTGAAAAAATCAGGCTGAATGTGCTTTCCCTCTCCTCACAATGTGTGAAATAAAACCAGATTTTCCACAGCCTCTGTCATAAATACAAGCCTCTCTCCCCCACCAGAAAATCTGAATAGGACTGTTTACTATCTCCACATGGCAAAACATTCACAAGTTGCTAAACACAATAAACCTGGTGTATGATTCCAATTCAAAGGAGGCAAAATCATATGTAAATAAACTAATTTTATCCTTCTCTGTCATGTGACTCTACTGCTCCCTTGGACTGGTAGCAGTTGGGAAGCAGCAAGCGGTAGAGAATGTCCAACAACAATCCAGAGAGGGGAAAAAGTCCACCATGGTAACATAATATCAAGCGAACTGTGGACACATTTCTTTTAAAAAAACAAAAGGGTCTTTAAGAGGGAGCACCAAAGGATGACTGAAGGAGGTCTGAAGGAGGCATAAAAGAAGCATGTCAGTTTTGTAGCTGCTCAGTTAACCACTTTACACAGGATTGTGTTTCCCTGTCCATAAAGTAGCTGTACCTATGGATCCTTTACCTTCAGGAGCATCTCAGTAAGAGAGTTGACTTACACTACCTAGATACAGAGGTTTTGATGCTTTGCACCCCTTCCTACATCCCCCATATAACACCAATACATCAGGCTTTCTACACAGTAGAACATTACCACCTTCACCAAGCCTAAAACATTTAATTGTTTTTCTAGGGTGTGGGAAGATTTAGGATCAAAAGAGGGCAAGGAACTGACCGGTGTATGTGGGGAAGGCCAAACTTTTCTTGGAAATGACCTAAGCATTGGTGTGGACAGTGCTATGGTCAGCAGGAGAGCTTCTCCCACCGCTCGTTGGGGGTGGATTAATTCAGTTGATCGGGGAGCAGTCTCCCAGTAGCTTAGAGCGGCTACACGAGACAACTTTACAGTGGCACAGCTGTATGGTGCAGCTGCACTGCTGTAAGCTCTCTAGTGTAGTCATAGCCAATGTTGGGGACTTGCCTCAGAACTATTTTATCTGAAAAAGAAAAGTAAAGCTGCATGATGAAAAAGGCCCCAAGTTCTCTAAATTTTCTCAGCTGATGTGATGGCAAAAAAAAGGGCAAATTTTAGAATGAGAAACTAGGACATAGGAGATAGTGGATGAAGCAGTAGGCTAGACATGGAATGTATGGGATGTACGTCCCTCAGGGCTGAGACTTTCACTTCCAGGAAACTAGAGCTCAGACCCTTATGAAAATCATCTATTGGGAAGTCTAAAGTGTCCTTTGTGAACAATAGCAGGATGTCTGCCTACCTCTTCATGCCCTTGTAAGCTCAGCAGGAAGAAAGCTGAGATTTGAAAAGTAAATCATCCTTTTCTTGATTTGAAAAGGAAATCATCTAACTTTTGAGAGTAACCATGTTCAGGGAGACATGAGCCTTAGGTTCCATGGTACAAATCTCAGATGCTGCAAATCTGGATGGGTTGAGGTCCCAAAACATTGGCAGTATCCACAACTTGCACATTGACTTGTGTATCAGTTCGGGAAAACTGAGGAAATTTGGGTCAATAAGGGGTGACCAAAATTACTGAAATGTGATCCTGGCTGCTGTTTCTGGGCACCTTGCATCTGAGGGCAAAGGAATAACCCCCGAGACCCAGCAAGGAGAATGATAGAGTGTCCACTCTCCAAGCCTGTAGATACTAATGCCAGGCGCATAGTTTTGTTATCTTCCTATTATTACTAGTCATTGGATTGCAAACAGGTTTGCTTGGTGCAATCTGGTTGGAAACGTGCTTGTTTAACCATCTCCAACTCATGATGGCTGAGCTACTCAGCCTGACGGCTGGTCTTACCACCAATATGTATAACTCCAAGAAATACACCCAGGTGTTCTGGTGTCTCTCTCCAGCCTTTTGCTCTGTTGTGGTGGGTGGGATAGGCCACAATGGTTCTATTTCCCATGTGAATGGCTACAATTCCCGCTGGGACCCTTGGGAGGAGGGTGACACTTCAATTCCTCACTGCCCACAACTCCAAAGAGGCTAATGCCAAGCTGGCATTCCCAGGAGGACCATTTGCCCTGTGCCACGTGAGGTCTCATCTGAACTCCCCATCCATCTAGGCTGGTGTTGGTTATGGCGCAGAATCTTTAGCCCAGGGTTTGCCACTGGAAATATGACGGGGTTGGTGCCATCACTATAGATAGGCCCATCTTCTGAGTTTGGTAGCTGCAGTGCTTGCTCAGAAAATTGTGAAGGAGTGGAGGTGGAGAACTTCCCAGGGGGATCATTTTATCAGCTGAAGGCCTTGGTGGTTGGTGTGCTGATGCCTTCAGGGCTGAAAAACTACTTGATGAAGACTTCAATTTGTTTGAATTTCTTCTTGGTTAATACCACGAGGTCCAGGCTCGTTTTGAATAGACCCACCCTCGATGTAAGCATACCCAAACTAGAATGAAGGCGCTTTCCTGATGACTCTCTATGAATCTATAAGGTTCCAGGAACTGGATGGGTTTAGGAAGCACAGCAAGCTCTTATCTCATGGGATTGCATCTTCAGCAGTAGATCATTCAGGTTGTGGTAGATCTGGGTGACAGGATGACGATCAACATCATGAACATCAGTGGCACAGATGTCAAGCTGAAGAGCACTGGCTGGAACCAATGACGGAAGCTCACAATCACAAAATGTAGGAACCTTTGGTGGCAGGGAGGTATTGGAACATGAAGCTAAAAGTCCCATTGAAATGTATGGAGGCTAAGAAATATGGGGGGCGAAGGGGGAGAGAAGAAGAGGGGATAGTTCTTGGCTCAGCAGAGCTAAAGCCACTATCCTGAAATACATTTTAAACACAGAGTGGTTGAAGGTGGACAGAAATGGAATGGGAGCTCCAGGCCAGAACCTCTCTCTTGAAGGGGCCAGGATTATTGCTCCGAGATGAAGATTTGGTACAAAGTGCAGGGACCATGGTCTTTTCACATGGGCTTGGGGCAGAGAACACATAAGAAAAAAAAAGTAGAAGAGGAGGATGTTTACAGTCTATGAGGAGATCTTGTCTGAACATGTCAAGACCCATCTGTCAGAAGTGGTACTGGCCAATATTGGAAGAAATTCTTGAGCCTTTCCTTCCTTCCTCCCAAGGGAAGATTGGCCTCATATGGCAGAGCTTCCCTGTCTGGAAGTGTCTTCTGAAGAATCTTCTCTAAGTTTGATGCCAAACCCAGGAACGGGAAACCTTTGATGATGAGGATGGCTGTACCCTGATCAACTGCTGGGGAATCTATTGCTGAGGGATTCCTAGCCTACCTCAGTGCACTTCCCTGAGGACATTTTCCCTGCCAGACAGAGCAAGCTGGAGGGAGAAGGAAATTTGGCAAAAATTCCTAAGAAAAAGAGCCCTCAGAGACAACTGCTGTGGAAATCTCTGCTTCAGAGCTCAGAGGCAGAAGATTGAGGTGTGGTTCACGAAATACGTCTGTAGCGTATTCTAATAGTCAGACTGTCATGTAGGGAGAGAGGAAGAAGAATGGAACTTCTTTTCTGCCTTTAAGTTGGGCAAAAGCCAGAAAAAACCCAAACATTTCCAAGTTTAATGGAAGTGCGGATTCACACTACTGAGAATCTCTTTCTTGCCTGCTGCTCAGACCAATCCTTTCATTGGCTTCCTCTCATCTTTGATATGGAGTTCAAGCTTCTCTGTCCTCCCTCTCAAGGGTTAGCATAACTCTTCCTCCACCTCAGTCTCTGCTCTCATTTCTGATCACTTACCCCCACCTCACCACTCCCTTAGGGTCTGTCTCTCATGCTCATGCCTTCTTCCGCAATCACCTATGCCTGGAACTCCCTTCTTATCCCACAAGTGTCCACCTTTCCTTTTCCAAATCCCACCCCAAAACTTGCTTCTCCCATAAAGCCTAAAAGTACTAATGCACATCAGTAAAAATGCTGCCACCTACCCTTGAGACTAAAGACCAAATTGCTCTAAGACAGAACCTTCTTCTGGGTTTTAACTCCCAGTACATTTTATTGTGTGTCATCCATCTACTTAGACTGTAGCTCACCAAGACAGGGATCTTCTTCTGTGTCTTGTACAATGTGTGTACAGTGAGTACTTTGTCAAGACTTAAATAGAATAATAGAAGCACAGAACTGGAAGGGACCTCAAGAGGTCATCTAGTCCAGTCCCCTGCACTCGTGGCAGGGCTAATTATCTAGACCTGCTCTTAAAAATCCCCAATGATGGAGATTCCACAACCTCCCTAGGCAATTTCTGCCATTGCTTAACCACCCTGACAGTTAGGAAGTTTTTCCTAATGTTCAACCTAAACTTCCCTTGCTACAATTTAAGCCCATTGCTTCTTGACCTCTCCTCAGAGGTTAAGAAAAACAATTCTTCTTCCTCCTCGAAGCAACCTTTTACGTACTTGAAAAGGTATGTCCCCTCTCAGTCTTCTCTTTTCCAGACTAAACAAACCCAATTTTTTCAATCTTCTATCGTAGGTCATGTTTTCTAGACCTTTAATCATGTTTGTAATAATTGGATTAGTTGTACTAAAGTAATATTATACAGCCTTAGTACAGTACCCTAACTGTGACAATATTACAGATTGCAAACATGGTCCTTGTTACATATGGGGCTCATAGCAGCAAGGCTGAAAAACTGACATTTAAACTCTGGGCCAGTCCATGATCATGTTGGTAACAAAAGAAGCACAGAAGACGGATGAGGAAGAACAGGTTTTAATGAGAGAAAGGAAGAATATAGTATACAGCTGATACAAAGAAGTACACAGTATAAGACAAGTGTCTAATATATTAATAGAGAACTTCAGAAACAGAAAATTTCAAATGGTTAAAGGAAGTGACTTGCTCAAAAGTTACAATCTTATGTCTTCATATATATACACATTCCTGGCAGTATAGGAAACATGTTCAGGTCTTACATAGAAAATCTTGACTGTCCAAAGTGGTGGTATCACTTCCCAAAGAATATTTGCATATGGTACGTTATGAAGAATACACAGAGGCAGCTCAAAACTTTCTGAGAAGAAAAATATAAAGAATTTGGGGGGGAGGAGTAAATCGATCCCTCTCTCTAACAGCAGCAATTTGATCTGTTCCATATTCAAGATCAAAAGTACTGGAAATGGCAAGTGATAATAATAATACCTAGCTCTTATATAGTGTTTTCATCAGTAGAATGAAAGATCTTTTGTACTATGCAATTCATTAGAACTAAATTATACACCAAGGCCCAACACAGCAGACAATCTCTCCTACAAGCCTCCTTTCCCTAAAGAGACCAAGCAATTTCCCCTCCCCCAGCCTGCTGCCATAAACCAGCTCTATGCTTCCCATCTTTCCGGGGGACACGTGGCAGCAGCCAGGAATAAGTCGAGGGATATTTCTGATGAGTCATACCTGGGTGGAAAAAGGCTCTAGGAGGGGGCTGGCAGCTGTTAACCTGAAACCCAGGTGAAGGAAAGTTCACAGAAAAAGGGGGCTGCCCTGTGGAGCTCCTACCACCATCGGGGCACAGCATCTGCCTTCACCGCACGCTAAGCATGGGGATAAGCAATCACAGGGTCAGTTAAGCTATTGTGGTAGCCTAACCCGCAATAGCATGACCTCAGACTGTGCTGCCATGCCCCTCATCGATTCTATTACTGTATCTGGTTGTGACATGGAATACAACTATCTGGGCACATATCCCAAGGTCCAGCCCAAAGCTGCACCAAGATTCACATATGTTCATATGGTCATGTGGCTACACGCTAAGATACAGCCTCGTTAGGGGGAATTGTTCTGCTGTATCAAGCAGGGGAGAAGGGTGAAGCTGGAGAAACTGCAAGCAGGAAGCTGAGCAGAGTGGAGGAAGGAGCTGAGCAGAGGCAGACTGATAATCCACCTCTGGTCAATGGGTTTATGGGAAGGGATCGGAGACCATCATGTCTCGATTGTTGTGAGTTCCCAAGGCTGTATGTCTTCACTGCAGCTACCTCAGGGAAGCAGTACACATTAACAGCTACTTTGGGGTCTGCACTATAGCTCAAGGAGTGGTGGCTACCTCGTCGTGAAGCACTGACAGAGTGACACATGTGGATGTGCCAACATGGAGCATGTTAAGGGAAAACCCCGCAACTGAGCCTGAGTTAAGTCTGCAGGGAAGACAAGTCCATAGTCTAGGAACAATGTGTGGGAGCCACGCCCCCAGCGGCATAGCTCCCCTCCCTCGCTGTCCTGTCCCGGCTCTTTGGGAGCCCCCAGGCTGTAGAGAGGAAGTTCCATTTTCTGGGACTCTTAGGAACTTCACAGCTGGGGAACGCACCCGCAGCTCTCCTGAGCCAAACTCTTGCTCCAAAAGCCTCCCCCTGCTGCCAGCCTCCTCAGTTGATACCTTGTCTCCTCTCTACCAAGCCCCCATGTCAGCTATTTATGTGACACAAAGGGATTTTTGCAGCAACTTGACAAAAGGGAAGTGAGGGCCCTACCGCATGGTCATATAGTACATGGGGCCTTGTCAGAGTAAGGGAAGGTGCAACAGAGAGCCCACATTATGTAGAAAATCACTCTTCAGTCATTTGGTATATGGCCAGGAGTAACCAGTGTTCATTACTAAAGTGCTTGTATCAATGAGCCAGCACTATATACTGCAGAAACTAGCTATTGCCAAGATATCTAGCAGGAAATTCATCTTCAGGGGAAGGTCAAATTATAAGCAGACTTCCACATAAATAGAACAAAACCGCAGTGCTAATAGAGCATGTCCACTTTGCCATTTTCCCCACTCATCCAATCACAGCTAATCAAAGGGTAAAAGTACAGGCAGCCCTCATGAATAGAGGGGGAAAGGTGGTGGTGGCGACAGCAGGGGAAGTGGTTGGGTTACATATGCTAGAGAGAAAAATAAGAAAAAATATAAGGGTAACCAGAAAGACTTTCAAAGTGGCAAATGTTGAGTTCCACAGAAGAAAAAATTCCAAAATGGAGGGAACTCACCCCAAGCAGAATATAAAGAAAGCCCTTAACAAATAGTGAATTAAAGAATACAGGAAAACATGTGACAAAGATGCCATGGCCTGCTTCACAGCTACGGGAGAAGGGATGGGGATAAATAAGATTGGAGAAAAAGGAGAAGAGACACAAGAGCAATTGGGAAAGGGCCACAGGCAACAGACACCATCACAGAGAAACTGGTATGAAAAACTCACCGATGCAAGGTGGTTGAAGGTTACTCAACTCATTGGCCCCTTCTACACAAAGGAATTTTTCCTGTTTCCCACTTTTGCTAATAGCCATTCAGCTCCCCAGTATCAGCAGTGCTGAGAGCTCTAAAGCAGAAGGCTGTAGGCTGCAGATCCTTTTCTAAGCACCTTGTCATATAAACCTGCTCAGAGCCAATCTCATCAAAACAGTTCTTAAACCAGTGTCAGTGGCTGGCAGGCTACCTACATGAGGGTTCCCAGTGGAGTCGACCCACTGTTACTGTTATGAATGATCAATTTATGGTGGTCCCCTCATGTTCTAGGTGCTTTTCAAACACCGCAGAAGGAGTGCTTCCATTGAGAACTCCCAACCTAAGGAATAGATAAACTCTAGACAGAGTTTAGAGGAAGAGGAATAACTGACATAACTTATATATAGGTCATCTTAGTGTCTGCTATGCTGCTGACAGTGAATCATCTTTAACTGGAACTTAAGTGTGGACAGGGTAGGGGTCTTGAAGATGAACTCAGGGATGCTGGGGCCCAACTGCTCAATACAGAGATTGAAAAGGACTTCTATGGTGTCTAAATTGTTTCCTGTCTCCACCTCACAGTAAAGGGAGTGGGAATCCTGTCAATGCCTGGGAATTTCACAGCACAGGCTCGTTTCACAAACAGATCCACTCCATACTCCCTGCACAAATTAGCCCCATTGTCAATTTCTCACTGCAGTTTGTTCTTTTGTCAGGATGTTCCTCTTACACTTGGGCTGTCATTTAGTTTGTTAATAAATAAAATAATAATAATAATCAAGACTTTCAGGATCCTTTTCGTTCCCTGGCTTCCCCTTGGCAATCTATACTGTGGCTATGGCTTTAAGAACCCTTTTAGGGAAATACAAGAGCTAACAGCAAGGCCAGGAATCAGTGGGCAGGAAATGCAGAGGAGCATTAAAGGCTTGATAAGGCGTAAACAAGATTAAATGGCTTTTCCGATTACATTTGTAACATCAGTTTGCATTTCAGATACATTCATACAGCCTGCGTAGCAATCTGCTCAAGTGCATCTCTGTTTTCCTTCCCTTACTTAATTTTTCTTGTGCGGTTATCTATTTGTTTGCCTCCTTCATAAGTAACCGTAAGGTACAATATGGGAAAGAACACACACTAAAGCTTCCCAGCCAAGGCGCTTGGAGTGCTACATGGCAATTTAAAGTTATATAAACCATCAGTATAAGAAAAACATACAAGACCCAACAATGCAGCCTAATTAAAATGGGGGAAGGTCCTATTCAGGACAGACATAGTAAAAATAAAACCCCACAAACCTCCTCTGGAAACACATTTCCTAGATGCTCTTTTAGAAGCATGAGAAACTGAGGCAGATGACCCGACAAAGCAAGTTCCAATCCCTGAAGCTCCTAAAAGTAAAAGCACAAACACCTGCTGAGCCACACAGCTCAAAGGCAGAATGGTGAGACAGCGGGTGTTGTCAGAGCCTGTCACAGGGGGTGCTGGTTCTTTTATCGGGGTTAGGGCTCAGCCTCATCTAGGACAGACTGAGCTCACCTCCCCAAGGCGTGGAAATTAACAAGAGGAGCACATGACAGGGAGCATGTGACTAAGAGACCTGCTGGGAGACATGGGCAGCCTGTGGTCAGTCAGGAGGGAGACTCCAAGGAAGGGAGTGCTCCAGGAGAGAGCAGGAGACCAGCTGGGAAAGGGCCAACAAGGAGGCCAGGCTGAGCATACAGGAAGAGGCCCTGGGAAGAAAAGTCAGGGCAGTTCGGGTTACAGGGCAGAGTTCACAGAGTTCTCAAGGCTGGAGACTGGTAGCAGAGGGTGGACATAGGTGCCCCAATGCTGCCACTCTATGGAGTGGTGCATACACCCTTGTCAACAAGGGAGAAGAAGGGAGCATTTGAAGCCTAGGAAGGTTGGCAGCTGAACCAAAGAGAAGAGCTAAAAACTGTTGAGGGAGAAGACAGACTCTCAGAAGACTTGTGCCTAGCGAGAGTCTGGGGCAGAAGAATGATTGTGTTTCCTTTTGGACCTTAACTTCGGAAGAGTAAAAGGGGTGAGTCACCGCAATAACCTAAAAGTCCTGGATGACTGCTGAGAGGGGAAACCGAAGCAGCAGATGTGCACAGGGGCTGAATATTAGCCAGGCGGGGGACGAGGTTTCGCATACAGCCAGGGCCTTAAAAACCAACAGGACCAGCTTAAAATCCACCATCAGGCACCACAGGAACATTGCTCCATGAGTTCAAAGTCCAACTGCATCAATAAAAACTTAAACTTAGATGTTAAGGGAAGAATGGAGACTGAGAACTTACAATGTCTTTAAATTGCAAATAGACTCGAGAACAAGTGGCCACCATACCCCCTGGCATCCAGTCTTTCTACAGCCAAGCTTCAACGTGTAGTCAAAATAAAGCTGACAACAAAAGGAACAGTGTGCGCTGTACAGCTGCTGGGTTTGATTCTAGAAGGTCTATTTAGTTAGATGAGTTGTAATGAAACCAGAAACCAGGGTAAAGAATATGAAATGGAGGCTGCATGCAGATTTTAGTTACAGAGTCAGGCTAAGACTTTTCATGCAATAAGAAGGTGACAATAAGTGGGGGCACTTACAGAAATACTGGCTGGAGCTCAGGTTAGAGGCAAAACTGTGTGATTAGCTTACTGTCTGAAGTAGACGGGGAAGACGGGATTGGATTTATACAGCCCTGGCTCCCTATATCTCCCTACTTACACAAGGATGACCCAATTTATATAAAAAAGTTCTTCAAGATTTTTCAGAAATAAAACTATTAAAGGCATATACCAACACCTGGGTTAGAGTGAGAAAAACTGCTGCAGCCACAAACATGATTAAAGAAGCAAAAATGCTCCCTTAAACTAACAGACTTCTCCTAGCTGTATTACCATTCCTGAATTATAAAGTCTAGATTTACATTTTCTGGAATACTTGGTCAGCGGAGAGGTTACTGAACAAGATGATGTAAAGAAGAAATAAAATTGGACACAGATTCTTTGTCATTAAGCTGGAGGACTTATTAGAGTGGAAATAGACTATGGAACCTCTTACCATCACCTCAATAATAGCCCAGTCATTTCCACATGATTGCTGTTCAGTGGGCTGTAAGAAATGAGTGGTGAAGAGGCCAAAGATTGAATGGCCACAGAGACTGAAATTCCCTCTCAATCCAAGGAGTAGTCCCTTCTCCAGGCCAACTACTGAGACAAACTGATAGGGCAATATGAGGATTCACACTGCTGTATCCCCTCTGTGGCCAAAGAGAGGATATTGGTTTCCAGGTCTAAAATGGAATAGTTTCACAAGCAATAAATCCACTTAAAACAAGTTACATGGAAAATAATATACATCATCTGTTAAGGATCCTAAAGGGAAATAACCGCTCAGCTGAATTTAGACAAGAAGCATTCTAACAGTGCTAACATTCAGTGTCTGTCTACACAAAATACTTGACCGACTAATACTAGGATATCACAGAATATGCTGTTTTACATCCACACTGCACAAACCAGATTAATTCTTTTCAGTAATTCAAAATTTTAATTATAAAATGCTCCATTAGTGAGTGAGCTAAAGTTAGAATGTCCTTCCACCACCTACGGTACTTGTTTCATGGGCCCTGGGATTACACTTCCTCATTTTTTGATTGTAGCACATATAACTTCCTTCCACCAGCTGTCGCCTTTCTAACTGCAGACTCAGTAGAGAGGCCAAGAACTTTAAGAGCCTTTTAGGACACTGTGAGGGGGAAGCTTGCCCTGCTGCTGCCCTGTAGATGGAGGCCCAGTCTACACTTAAAACTTAGATTGACATAACTACAGTGTTCAGGGGTGTAAAAAATCCATACACTGGACAGCATAGCTATGCTGACTTAACCCCTGGTGTAGATGCAGCTTGGTCGACGGAAGACCGATTCTGGTGACTTACTTACTGGTGCTTAGGGAGGTTCAGAAAAACCCTTTCCATTGCTGTAGTCTACATCTACACTATGGGGTTAGAGCAACATAGCTATGGTGAAAAACTACACCCCGACTACACGATGAGAAGTAAATTCATACAATTTATTCAGAGCTGGGGTTCGCAGTTGCAGGGAAATTATCTGTAAATATGCAAATTAGACCATTAATTTGCATAAGAGGACACATGGAGCAGCACAAAACTTGACAGCTATGAGCTAGTTTAGATTTTATCATTTGCTAGTTTAGATGAGAGACTGTGGGGACAATCCTGATTACTGGCTTTCATCCCAAGGCATATAAAATTGTGCAATGACACACGGAAATCCATTCTTTTTTTAGGATCAGACATTAAGAGCAGCCCTTAATGTTCCGATGCCACTGCCCAGCCGCGACACTTCATTCTCTGGTAGATGCGACTTCTGATGAGGGATTTTAGGCACTGATTTCCACTCCCTCTCCCACCCTTTATTTATTTAGTAATCAGCCTGTTCTTAACAGGAAAAAGTGAAGGAAAGTATTGGTCACTTTCTGTTCAGAAATGTAAGACTGTTTGCAGTCCTCTGCCCCCAGCTGAGAGGGTCAGGACCCAGTCTTTAAATACTGAGATGTGGAGGGAAGAGGCCAACAAAAGCGACTCACTTATTTTGAGACTTGACACTAAAATTGCTGTTACTTCCAGACTATACCCAATGTTCACTGTTCTTCCATAAGTCAGAATTACTACGATATTTGTAAAAGCCAATATGTACTTCCAAAAAGCAGTGTAACTTGAGCTGCAGTACATCTTGATTTCTGTTTTGAATGACATACTTCCAGTATGGTCTCTATTTTATGTTTGTGTTTCAGTTTCCTAGAGGACAGCTTGCAGAGTTACTCTTGACATAAAAACCCATGCCAAAATGGAATTCAGAACATGTTTCTAAACTTATTTACTGAGTCACTGACAGGTAGGGAAAATATCAGGTCATGTGACGAACACTTGCGCAAAACTGTTGTGGTATATTTTAAAATATGAAAATCTTGGTTGCATTTTTTTTAGGGATCTGATTATTCTCTCCCAAATGTTTAAACGGATTTAGAGACATTTGTAAATAAGGGCAACATGGTAACTAGGGCCTCTATTATAATTAAGATAAGTTGTCATGGAGGATATAAAACTCCTGCTGAGATTATTAAAAGTTAGTATAATGTGTCATTGAAATGGCTGTTTTTACCTTTTAGTGATGGAGTGGGAGAAAACTGATGGAGCATCAATCATCACACAGCCAATAAGACTTAGGAAATCAATCGATTGCCAGGTGGACCTCATCTGGGAACTGGCAAATTATAGGGTCTGTGGACAGTCACTAAGGAAGATGTGAAGAAGGGAGTGTTTCTGGTCTCTGCATGGAGGGGTTGGGTCAGGATTGGGTCAGGATTCTAAGAAGGATCAAGGGCTTTGCTACACAGCAAGTTACTGCATAGCAAACCAGGATGTGCATCTAGAGTGCATCAGCTGCACTACTGCACAATGAAAGTCCCAGAGCGTGGCATGGCTTACAATGCTTTCAAGTAGTAATACAGCAAGCTCCAATGGGGGATTTTTACTGTGCTGTAGCAGTGTCCACTTATGACATTATTGCTCGGCAAGCTTCTGCACTGTACTGGCTTGCCAGGCAGTAAAACACTGTGTAGACAAGCCCCAAGTCCTGACCAGACAGCCTGCTTCCCAATCTTTGATACCCATATATTCACTGCTACTAAACTTGTAAGTTTAGTGTGTGTATAGTAACTGATCATTCACAATATGTTGTGGTAAAGGCTTGTTCATCAGAGACCAGATCCGGGGTCTTAAATGTTCAGCTGGTATTTAAATAAGTGCCATTTGCCATTCATAGAGTGTTTTAGGTCAGGTGGCAATTGCTGAAAATAAAACTAGGTTTTATTTTGATTCAACAACTTCTTGTTTTGCATAGTAACGAAAAACATTTATCAAATAAATCCTGTTGAATATAAATACTTTTTTCGCTCCACCAAGCCAAATATTTTCTTTCATTTCATCTCATCGCAGCAGCTAGACATATGGGACAGACAGACAACTAGTCTGCATTACAATGGGAAAATAAAGTTCAGTAGTTCAAAAGTTTGTTGACTTGCTTATTTGCAAAGAAATTAACAAAACTGTGATGCACTTCTGCTATTCACATCCATCCAAAATGTCCAATGAAATCAATAAAGCGTTGGGTGTGCAAGGAGCACAGGCATAAGGTACAGCTTGGAAACTCAATAAAACCAGTTAGTCTTGACCTAGTCCATCAGTATTTCTCCTTCTATGTGGATTAGTTGATTTCAAGTCTGCAGTGAGGAGTAGGAACGATTTATCAGGAGCTCAATTATCTTATTACTGTAACACCAACAGAGGGCTTGGCAACTGCTGATCTTGCTTCTTATTGATACAAAGATGTTCTAATCTACTTTTAAAGTTGTACATGGTTTATAATTCACCAAACCCACATGCGTTAGTGTATGGCTTTTCACTTTATTATGTTATGTACAATAAAAAATGGTGTTCATCAACAATAAATATTTCTATCATCGATATCTGTCTATATTCAAGTGTTTATTTGCTACTATAGCTGTAAAACTTAAGGGCAGAAATTAGATGGGCTATCAGATTACAATCAAATATAGGAAAGTGAGTTTTGCCTTTAGGATTCCTTCTAGCTGGGTCTGGTTGAGAAGAAATACCTTGGACATTACTTAACCATACAGAACTGCGCGCGCCTCCAAAACTTTATGAAGGCATTAATTTTAAATGGGATATGGAAAATGTAGCTGCTGTCAATTCTACTCACTGCAAAGAACACTGGCTACCAATATTCAATGTGGATGCCATGCTAAACACGATCAGATTTAAAAATTAAACAAAATCTAAAATGTAAGAACTTTGTTCTTATTAAGATCTCATTCTGCAGTTATCTATCAAAGAACACTTATCAGCTTTAGTTCTCCAATATGCACAATATGTTAACACAGTGCCTGGGTGCTAATGCAGACCACTGTAAAATTTATAAATTTGTAAAATGCAGCAAGAAATGTAGATGGCCAAAAATCTAATAAACTGCTTAAGAGGTTCTACAGCTTGAAAACAATGACTTTTCAACAGACATCATCATGAGGAAATTTGGACTATAAGAGTCTATTTATAGGTAGCTGGGAGCAAGTTATCAAATCAGAGGAAACCATTCTTTGGGTGCAGTGGGCTGTTAACCAGATTTTTCTTCAGGGAGGATATTAAATAAATAGCCATTAAAGTAGATTACCCACTAGTACAATTACATGTGGCATCTTAAATGGATGCAAATGTAAGAGAGTGTGTGTGGTTTTTTAAGAACACACTAGATAAGTTTGCCAATTTTATTTGCATTTAATAGTCAGTTGATTTACTCATATAAAATTTGTATTTCTTTGAATGATGATGAAAGCTAAGATTGCTCCATAGGTTCACTCTTTTCTCACATGTTTAATTCCAAGTGCTCAGCCAGAGTCTGTTCTTGGGTCTTTTGCCCCCCAGGTCTGCAGTAAACACTGCAGAAATTACTGGCTCAAACGAAAGATATGGGGTGTATTTTTGTAGCTAACAGAGCACCTGCAGCTCCCATTAACTTCAGCTGAACTTGCGAGAGTAGTGAAAATCAAGGCCCAGATAATTTTGTAAGGATTTATCACAATAGATTAGAGTGTTGTTGCAGCTGTGTTGGTCCCAGAATATGAGAGAGACAAGGTGGGTGAGGCATTATCTCTTATTGGACCGACTTCTGTTGGTGAGAGAGACAAGCTTTTGAGCGTACACAGAGAGCTCTGTGTAAGCCTGAAAACTTCTCTCTCTCTCTCCAGTCATTTAAAGGATATAGGATTCCATTATTTGGATTTAGGAAAAAGAGATAGCAATGTTGGGATACACAGAAGGTCATGAGATGCTCATGGATGAGCTGATGGAAAAAGTATCAGTGAAAAATAAAACCAGATAAAAGGAAGAATTAGCTTAAAAAAACTATCAGGGCACTTGGTGAACTTGAGAGTCTTAAGTCAAGGGCAAGGAAGACTTCTTTTCAAATGGGAATGACAACGTTCCACACACTCCCAGTCTACCTAAACCAGTTCTAAAATTAGAAAGACAACTGCCTACCATAGAGAGAATTGCATCAACGGTTCCATTTTCTCAGTAGTCCCCTTTCAGGGCTGGGGTAGAACCGACTCCACTACCAAAAGTGATGCTTAGCTGCTCAGTACATCATGGTTGAGCAGAGGACTATATTTCCACAATGTATCCTAGGCATCATTCATTCTATAGCCTCCACCCACATACGGCTAAATAAGGGCACAGAATACACTATCACAGGCAAATAAAGCATTTAAAGACATTCCCGTCCCTTAATCAGAGTGCAAGGGAGCAGAAGAAACAGGGAGAAGACAGCAGAGGATACACTGTGTAAACTATGATCCTGAGCCACTTACTCCATCCGTTACATGTTAATATTTCCCCATTTAGGAGCTGTGAAACTGCACATATTTACACCCACAGTGTTTCCTCAAAATCAATACCAGGGGAGGAAGAAGGTTGCAGGGCAGGCTTGGTCTTGTTACAAAATGACCAAGGGGATGTTGTCTCAGGTGCGGGAGCATCCACTGAGCTCCCCCTTTGCTCCACATTCCCTCATGGCAACTAATACCCTCAGGAACTTTACTGCCATTAAGTCTCTGCTGATGGGTGCACCAAACCCCGCACCCAAGAAGTTGGCGGATGCAGAGAGGAGTTATCAGGAGTAATTACTGGCCTGATTTCTGAATTAAAATCCATCCATGTCCAAGAGATCCACAGTGTGTGTCTGCTCCCTCTCAGCCTGAGCCATGGAGCCTTTACTCTGAGGATGGGCTTCCTTTGTGTCAGAGGGCAGGAAGCCAATGCCATGAAACCATTACTCTCCCCTTCTACGTCACAGTTCACTGCTCTCTAAATCAGTGCTGCAGAGAGAAACAAATAGCCCCACACTATATGTTTAGACTCAAGTGTCAACTGGGTTACAAGATACAGCTTAATTTGAAAGGATGTAAGTGCATGTTCTCTGCTTGTCTCTTTTAGACAGACACGTTATAGCTGCGATACAGAGAAACATGAAAGAACATTAGGAAAAAGCAAGTTTAACATTCAAACAAAATTACTGTACATCATTTAAAAAAATACTCATTTAACTTAGCTTAAAAATTTACTCCAGCATCGAACCACAGCTCTACAAGAGAACAAATGTACACAATACTGTACTTTGTAACCCAGTGTAAATAACCTAAGTCACACCTATATTAAGGTTTCACTTACAAAGGGCCAACAAATCTTTAATAGGTGTTTTAATAAATGGTAAAAGAATTGGTATATATTGTTATAAAGTCCAACAGGCTACTTCTAGCCATCTATATACACCTACTGATGTGATTATAACCATCCATAAACACAGACTACTCATGTCTATAACTTGCTTATAACATGTATTAATCACTTATTAATCCTTTATACACTACTTATAAATGGAACCTTAATATGAAGAGTGGCTAACTTCTTACTACTTTAGCCCAGTACTCCAGGACACATCAACTTTCACATTTTTATTTAAAATTCTGCATTTTAGTTTGGGAGGGTCTTTAACCAATGAAATTACAACTACGTAAGGTTGTTAACAAATATATAGCAGACGCTATATAGGCAAAGCAAAGGAGGTGTGGAAGACCATATGACACAGTTTATGTTTTTCAAAAAGAATCACTTTCACTAGTGTTATAATTAACACTGCTACTATGACAACAATATCAGGAAATGACAGAATATGCTGAAATTCAAGACATCATTTTCTCTTCTTTTTAGGAAAAAAATCATATAATATAAATAAATAAACATAACTATTTAGGTAAGTTCCAAAACCCACCAGTGGTGTCATCAGAAGAAGACAAAAGACTACTCCTGGGGTCCAGCCTCTATCTCCTTAGCTTACCTGCATATAATCATCAATATATTGAGAAAGCCCTATTGAGAGCTTCATACATAGGGAACAGTAAGCATTACATTTAGGTCTCAATTTTTCCATCCAGCATTTTCATCTCTGAATCCGTGCCTGAGCTATTTCAATCACATCACCTGCCTTTTATGGAATTCAAGTAGGCAACACAATGTTTAACAAAGTTCAGGTAGGACTTAGAATCCTCTTTCACTTTTAAAGCCTCTGTCTTCATTCTCGTTCTCTTCCACATGGTTTTCATTCTCTTCTGTCTTATCCTTCTGCTCGTCATCGTCATCTCCAAAAGTCTGTTCTTGCATGGTAGTAAAAGTAAGTGATCTGGCGGCAACCTGTGCAGCCAGACCTGATGTGAAGTTGAAATCTGTTGATATATGAAGCTGAGCCAGCCTTTGCTTGATGGAGGATTGTAATGCGTCCCTCAAAGGGGGCTGTAAAACCTCCATTCCGTCCACACCAGTTGTCTCCACTTCATCTCCTTCACCCTGACACTGGTAACATGTTGTTTTTACAGCCATTGGAGAGCCACCTGCATCAGCAGCAATGTCTTTGTTTTCATCCTTCGTAGGATCTTCATATAAATATTCAGTACTGCTTTTCTCATTCACAGTGACATGGGCTTTTGGGCTAGAGTCTCTCTCTTCAGAATCATCGCTAGTTTGGCTACAGTCCTGCTTTCCTGCTTCTGCATTCAGAGGGGATTCCAAAGTATTTATGGGTTCCACTGATTCTACAGGAGACAATGGCTTCACTGCAGCTTAAAAAGAACAAAAATATAATTATGACTAAAAAAGTGACCTTCCGTACCTAACTCAGCTACGTGTGTCTTAAGAGATGGACCTGAGAGTTAAAATAGGTAAAATAAAGATGTATTTTCTGAACAGGATGCTGAAAATGGAAGGTAATGGCTACTAGTTCGACATAGTCTTTAAAACTCATGAGACATACGTAAAAATCATCTCACATAGAGCGAATGTACTTTATGGAAATTACAAACAGAATCAATTGCTGCGTCTCACACAAATTTGAACGGTCTTCCTTTAAACAACAGCTGTCTAATCTAGTAAAGATAAGTGGAACACAATAAAAAATGTCTTATAGGTAACAGCTGATTTTATACATCACAACATATAAATAAGATATGTATGCATACAGTAGGATCCGTTGTCCTCACAAATAAAGAGTGGTCTAATTTAGCCTCTCGATGTTAGTAGTAGCAGCGAGTCCCATTGCCAACAACGGGATGCTTGCCAGGAAGTCTCTCCTCCCAGTGTTAGGGGTTAGTACAACACAATTGCTTCTTGAAGAACAGACGTCTTTCTTTATAGTAAAACGATACAGTGTCCATTTCCAACAAACAGATCCCTAAACTGTAGTAGCTCCATTAGAATAGCAGCACGAACATACATAAGAGCAGCAACAGCAGGTTCCCATGTGGCATTCCCTTTCTAATTCCATTCTGACTTTACCCCTGTAAGCAGAGATGAAAATAACTCTGGAAAACACACCAAACTTTTTATGGGAAACAAGATTACTGTATTAAGTTTTTTCCATTGCATTATATTTTAGTAGTATTTATTTTCACTAACTGAACATGGGAGTGTTTTTATGCTTGTCACATTAGTAATTATTTTCATTTAACACACTGAAAACTTATGCTTCAGGATTTACATTTGAAAAAACAAACACACACATAGTACAGTGTAGCAGCAGTATACCAATTTGGCCTCACCTGTTAATTGTTCTTCTAATGGAGTGGCCCCTTCACCATTCTGAAGAGAATCACTGTGTATCTCTACCAACTTGCTTCCGGAGGCAAGAATGTGCAAATTTCTCTATCCATACCAGACCTTTAAGAGCCAGTTTTGGTGCCTACATGCCCCAAAGAATACTTTCAAAGCTAGGTAACTATGGAGGGGCAAAAAGCCCAACTGGTAGAGGGCCAAATCCCAGGAACAGACCCAGGGCTGGATTAACTTTTTGTGGGCCCGGTGCCAAACATATTTGCGGGCCCCCATGGGGAACAATTGTAAAAGATAGGAGATCGACACAGAAGTCGATAGGAGATCGACACAGAACCCAGCTGCACAGCTTTTATTTACAAAATTTACAAGTTTAAGTTGCAGATGGAGGTGGCTGCCACTAGGGACCAGCACTGTCAGCCCTAGGGCTGAAAGAATGCACACCAGTGTACATAAAAATAATAATGTGTAATAAAATAAATTAGAAAAGAAAAAAAATACAAAATAAAACACAGCTAACAAAAGCCAAAGCTGGCCAAAACACCAGCCACGTGCTGCTCCCACTAAAAGGGAACCTTGCCACTATCTCATGCTTCACATTTCACATATGAACTACCAGGGTTTGAATTAAATTTTTGTATGAAACTGGGGTGGATTTAAAACCGTTTAAAACATTTAAAAAATAAAAATATGAAAAACTCAGACATTTTATTTACAAGGTCATTATTCATATTTGCCCTGCTTGGCCTTCCCTGCAGGCAGAGAGGCAGAGACACTCGGATCTGGACCAACTGTTCCCCCAAAAGACTGGGCCAACTCTCCAAATCGGACCAGACCCACATCCCTCCCCACAATGACCCCTCCCTCCGGGACTGGACCAGACCAACATGCCACCCCAGACCAACATTCCTCCCCAGACCAAAACCCCCAAACTGAACGAGACCACCTTCCAGCCCAAACTGGATCAGACCCTCTATGAACCAACCCCTCTTGACCTGAACCTCCACACTGCCTACCAGAACAGGGCTTCTCCTGAACCTCTATTCCTGAAGCCGACCCCTTTCTACGATCCGCAGTTGGGCCACTCTCGGGCACTCCACTCCAGAGCCACCTCCTGCTGTCAATCCACCCCTGTTCTCTGAAGCAAACTGGGCCAGATCGCACCTGGCTGCAGCTTGGCCAGATGCAGCTCGGACCAAGGTTGCATCCACTCAACTCATCCCTGGCACCCAGGGTGTGCGTGACTCCACTCTCCTGAGGTCTGGCTGCTCCCTGATTGCCTCCTGCTCATCTGGCGCTGGAAGGGGCAGTGCAGTGGGGAGGGTCAGGGTGTGCGTCCGGGCTTAGTGCTGACTCCAGCAGTGGGGCTCCCTGGCTGCAGGGGGTGCCTGAGCTTAGCCCTTGGACCCCCCACAACTGATCCGGGGAAGGGACTGCAGTGCCCGCAAAGGGCAGAGAGGATGCAGGACAGAGAGTTGGGGGGAGGGGAGGCTGCCCCCCCCCCCGACCCCGCGCCAGGGTCTGGGAAAGGGCAAAGCCACAGCAGCAACTCCAGAGGGAGGGGCTCAGAGCTGCGATCTGTGCCCCGCAGACACTGAGCAGAATTCGATGGCCAAGGGAGCCAAGCCCCGGAGAGTGGAATGTATGCCCCGCAGAGCAGTGACCCCAGCCCCATGAGTCGGGGTGCGGCCACCTGAGGCTGCAGAGCTCTGGCATGGTCCCCTCGCCATGGCTCTGCTCTCGCTACTGCTGCTCCTGACTGCCCTGCTGCAGCCCCTGGATGGATCCGGCCCCTTTGCCAAGCCCAGGGTGCAGCGCTGGGGGGTGGCTGCGGTGGGCCACCGGTAGGCGGCTCTATGCATCCCATGGGGCAGACTCCTGTCCCAGCCTGAGTGCCAGCCCCGGTGCCCGCTGGGCTCTCCCTCTACACGTAAGAGGAGGGATGGCGCTCGATACCGCGGCACCATTGGCATCATTGTAAACCTGGTACTGGATAGACCAATTCTATTTTGCCTGTTTCTTGGTTATTTTCACAGAACACTCCTCCCCTAGTCCAGAAAGAATTGCTGGGAAGTAGCAAGCAGTAGAAGAACAGAGGTAGAGAGACAGGAAAAAACAGTCAAAGCAGTTGCAAACTATCCAGTAATTGACAGGCTAATTTTTTATTTCTGACAGAATCTAAACAAAAACAAACAGACACAGGCTACTGGAGAATTTATTTATGGAGGCTGCACCACCAATTCTCTGATACTTGGTGAAGAAAAAGTGACTCACATCGTAGCTTTACAGACCTCTTCAGGAGAGACTCTGTTCTTTCGGCGCATGTTAGTGCTAAGGGAGCGCAAACAAACTCCAGGAGAATTTTTAAAAACTCAATGTTTCAATGGGGGGAGGGATAGCTCAGTGGTTTGAGCATTGGCCTGCTAAACCCAGGGTTGTGAGTTCAATCCTTGAGGGGGCCATTTAGGGATCTGGGGCAAAAATTGGAGATTGGCCCTGCTTTGAGCAGGGGGTTGGACTAGATGACCTCCTGAGGTCCCTTCCAACCCTGATATTCTATGATTCTATGAATGTTGGGTTCTTTGTTAGCTGCCTTGAGCAATCGGGAGACTGTAACTTTAGATTCTTTTTGACCATATTTTGTAGTAACTACAGGTCATCAAGGAGACACATGTCCTGTCAAGTAGGATTTGAGAGCTCTGACTACGCCAATGATAGGGCAGAAGGAAGGAATAAAACAGTCTTCAGATTGATGTGCAAGGGAGAATACACTTGAGGTAAAATTTCAGGGGCTAAAACTCAAACCTATATGGAAATACCTGAAAAAATGGTTCCTCGCAAGAACATTCTCTTACTTTCCCGACCCTTCTCCCAGAAGAAACTGCCATGAGGAATGGGACTTTGATAGAAAGGAAGCAGTGGAAAACTTTTCTAAGTGGCTGAAAGGAGGCCTCAGTGAGGACAAAGGTACACGCTGAAATTCCATTTAACTAGCTGGTACCTGAGTCCTGAGACTGGTCTAAGACTTTTGATTACCTGAGAAAGCAAGAGATGTGAGGATGAACTGCCAAGGTGTCTTCATAGTTAATTAGTGGTAGGTCTCTGAGGGCTAAAACTTATATCTGTAAGGAAATGTACTAAGGCCCATACCATAGCTATCTAGGAGAAGCTGTAGCATGGATTCAAGGAAGACTTGAAGATGATGCAAGTTTTTGGCCTCCCAGCATCAAAAAAAATATTCCCCACATTTTTGAATAGGCCCAGACACTTGAAGGCGTCCTACATTGAAAAAACAGCTCTATCATGCAAGAGAACAGATGAAGGACTGCAACATCAATCCGTCAGTCTCCAGGCTGTCAAGTTGACTTCTGACAAAGCACCAATCCCTGCCATAGAAGTTCCTTAGAAAATGGGAGACTAGCAATGATAATTATCTTCATTCCCCAGATTTTTCTGGCTATTGCTGTGAGAAGGTGAGAATGGCAGGAATCCATCCATTGCACTGACCACATGAATGAAAACATTCCTGCCCCCCCAAGCCAGAGAATCTCTGTTCCTGGAACAACAGGGATGAACTGCTATAGGAACAGGCCCACCCAAGAGAGGTCCCAGGCTGAAAGTATGTTGTTGAAGATTACAGGATTCAGCTGCCGTTGCCCAGGTGAGAGTTGTTCTGTTGTGCCAGTCTCTTGATATTTCCAGTTTACCTCGGATGCAGGCCCAGATGGTCTGATGAACCTTCCTTCATCACTTTGGAAGAGATGCACAGAACCTCAGTCCCAAGTGCTCCATTGAGATTAATGTAGGCAGCAGATGTCCAACTGCCACATTTTATTTCCATTGCTGGATTAGAAATGAAGGGAAGAAGCTGATGAATGACTTGGCCCATTGCTCTTAGTTCAAGGAGGGACATACTCATGCTGGACTCCCTCCTGGACTCCCAAGCAAAGCCCGAGAAGGCCTGGTGTCTATGTGAGTGCCCCATCCATGCAGGCTGGCATCTACTGGTGTTCTATTCAAAAGCGTATCCAACACAGGCTTCCCTTTATTTTACAACAGCCATTAGCCCTGAGACCTCTGGACTTGGGCTGGGAGCCTGATCAGCTCAGACCAACTTCCACCTTGTTTTTTTCAAACTAAGAGGAAGAAGGCCTGAGAGGGTCACATACAGTGGATAGTCCACTGCACTGTGCCTGTCAAGGAGAGCGTAAGACCCCATAGATGCAGAGCAAGGATGAGTGTAGAAAAGAATCATGTGACATCACGAAGCGTAGATCAAGGATAGCGAGGAAAACTTGCTCTTGAGAAGTGTCTGAAGTGTTTTGGTGCCTTTGCTTTTGGACTTGACTTGAATTGTAGCTTGATGGACCTGGGAGAGGGAGTGAGAGATGCAATCACACATGTGGCTTTGAAGGCAGGAACAGAGGCCTCATAATTGCATCTGATGTATTACTGAGCACTTGTCCACAGGATCTTTGAAGGAGGCAATGCACAGGTCCTTCCTTTTCTGGCTAGTTTGGAGATTGAGCCTTTCATCTGGGATATACAGCCAAACATGATGGTTGGATTTCTTGATGTCATACAGTTTAAGGTAGGTGTTGGACTGCTTCTGTGCTAGACAGGATCACTTGAAAGTGACTGTCTTCACACACTGGGAATTCCAGATCCTTAGACTTGTTTGACTTGCAGAAATCCTTTTTAGGGACATCTGTCTCCTCATTGGATCATCCAGAGTAGATGACTGTCAACAAATCTGGCCAAGTCCATGATGTGAAAATGTCTTCCATTTGTCTGAAGCACTGCAGGCAAGGAAAAGGGTATTTCACCTTCCTCTGAAGTAGAGCACCTAGATTTCGTAGATTTGTGCTTTTTGCACTTTTTTTAGTGCTTTTCCTTAGCCTTCTTTTAAGGGAAGGGAAAGGGGGAGAATTGAGAGAGAAGACCAGAGAAGGAAAAAAGGCAGAAGAAAACAGAAATATTCACAATAAAAATAGAGAGAAACTGCACTAAGCTGCTAGTTTTACTGCTAGAATCAGGCATATGGTATGCCAAAACTGGCTCTTTAAAAGCCATGCACTGTTGCCTGGAAAGAAAAATTTGCATATACCTGCCTCCAGAAACAAGTGAGTAGAGTTGCCAGCAGTCCGCTCCCGACTGTCAGAGGGCCACTCCAGGAGAATCCTTTTTCTACTTACAAATTAGATTGTTGGCTTTTAAAAAATATTTTCTGTCTTTCTTGGAATAGATACCAAAATCTAGCCTGTCACTTCACTCTATGTCTCTCTGTAATTCTGCGATAAAATTGAAAAAGTATTTCTTCTAAACCTGAAAATGTACTATCATTTACAAAGATTCTAAACAATTTGCTGCCTGGTTGAAGAGCAGATTTGGTGGAGAGCAATGAAAAAGCATACAGCAATTCCCTGTACGCTGTGCTTAATTCTCTCTGCTCCAAGAGACAAATTCTTAGCATCATGAAGTTCGTGGCCAAACTCCCTTTCCTTGTTTTTTTTTTTAATTGGAAAGTAAAATGATGCTAACAAGTCATATGAACAGATGGAGCAACAAATTAGGGCCACACAGATCTATCAAAGGCACTACTACAGTTGAATGCAGTATGTATTCTAGCAATACTATGTCAAAAGTTGATTGTAACCAGACACACACCCTTACTTAGAGTCAAATTAATTAAAAAAAAAAAAAAGACAGTACTTACCATGATCACTAAATAACAGCTGCTTCCATTTCTGTCTCTCTGCCTCGGAAGCTCTAAATCCCAGCACAGATTTCAGTTCTTGTAACACTCTCTTGGATTCCTCTCTCTCACGTTTTTGTCTCTCTCTCTCTTCCTGGGAAAAGCAATAAAAGTCCTCCCTTTTGTATTCATTGTCTGTATCTGTATCTTCAACATATGCTTCCAATTCCTACGGAAAAAGAATAAACTGCTCTTTTGATCTGCATAGTCCTCAAGGGTCAAGCCGTTTGAGGTACTGCAGTATTTCAGCACTTCAGCAGGAGGATTGGGCCCCAAGTCCATAGTCACCCACGTGATTCGCATGGCAGGAGTTTGGGGGCCTGACTCTGCTCTCAGTTACACTAATATAAAACTGGAGTAAGGACATTGATAAAGTCAAGATAATTGAAGTCCGCAGAGTCACTTCAGATTTACTCTGGTACAAACAACCAATACAAAAAGGAGATTTTGACTTGGGGATGGGGATCACTTTTCCCATAATTCCTATTGGATATGATGACTATCATTGTTTTTTTACTCTCCCCTCCTGCAGTTCATTCAGGGGTGGGTATCGCATTCATTTTATCAGTGGTAACTGTTCAACCAGGTAACTTCAGAAAGGGCAGAATCAACACGTTGAACACAGAAAAGTTTGAAGTGGTGATGAGGGGGCGGGGAAGGGGGCTCATCTTCTCTCAAATTGTGCCCATCAATTAATTCTTGAGTTGAGGCCGACTTTTCTTTCCAGTTACTTTAGCCTTCAAATGAGTGCCCTTAAACTGAGAGAGAAAACAACGCACCAAATTGTTTATGTTAAAGCATATTTTAAGTGTTCAGAAATGCAAAGCCTATGGAAACCATATAGGATTAGTTAGGTTAATGCAAGTAAGAATCAATTTAATATATTGCCTTTTAACCAATGTATATCTTCATCCACATTTTTTTTAGAGATGTCTTTATCTGGTTCCAAGGTAGCATATGCAGGAACTGGATTCAAAATTAATTTCAAAGCTCTTTGTTCCTGGGTGGGGAACACCGCCATGTGGTACACATAGGTACTATATACCCTGTCTGCAGTAGAGTAGTTCATAAGTCTGTTAACGAAAGGGCATTGGCTAGCTGCATTACATACCTTGCTGAAGGAGGTAAGGTCATTGCTTAAGCAGCTAAAAAAGGAAATGGGTGACGGAAATGTTTTTGCAACACAAAATTCATATATAACTTTGAAAGCATCCACTTATTCTTACCTGCTCTTCAGGGATTGGGTCTTTGTCCTCTATATGCAGGGCAGGCTGTAGTAATGGTATCATGGGGCAGTGTGTGTTATCACAATATGATTCAGGTTTGCCTGGAGGTTGGGGGAGGAAGGGGGTGGGAGAAAAGAGATTAAAACAAAAAAAGATTAAGTGTGGAAATGAACAGATAACTGATCTTTAAGAGTTCAGTGTGGTACTGAGTCAGAGCCTGACTCCAATGCAAAGGACACTGATACTCACTCCATTACCTTTCTGAGCACACTGTAAGGACTAACATGCAAAAAGCTTCAGGGTATCCCCTGAGAATCATCAGCAACTTGGCCGACATACATTATGTTCCTATTTAAGTTTAGAATGTTGAGCGGTTTTGCCAATTTTGCTTTTTAATTATTAGGTTACCAAGAACTGAAAGTTTGTTATGAAATATTTACAGATGTTAACTAGAATTTCTAACAACACCCAAATATTTAGGATGCTTGCCCAACAGGAGTGCTGCTCAGAAACTAATGACACTTTTAGATGTCTCCACAGCACTGAATTTTTTAAAAAGAAGTTATTAATAAATCACACCTTAGGACGGTGTGCACAATGGTCTTTTTCAAATAAAATAACATTATTTTGGGCTTAAATTCATGGATTTTTTTTAAAGATACTTGATTTATGATAATCAGTAGAAAGGAAAATATATTGTAATATTAATTTGTATTAATCATAATTCCTTTAGGCATGTTGTGAAACACAGATTGAAAATCAACACATTTCTGGGAAAGTTACAGGACAAAATGGAAAGTGAAAAAACTATGGCACTCCCGACTCCCCCCCGCAGCGTAACACCACCCTGCAAAAAAACCCTCATTCCCCCATAGCAATTTTTGTACAACGTTGTCTCAAAAAAAGGGGAAAAAAAGATTGAATGAATTGGCTAGTGTGCAACTGATGAAATCCTATTCAGTAAATGCCTAAAAGTTAGTGTACTAGACCAGGAAAAATATTCACATTTTGAGGTAAAAACTGGATGTAGAACTGGAACCTAAAACAAGTGTAAAGGAAAATTCCTCCTTCCAGAACAAGAGTACTACTAGGCCCTATACTAGGATAGTGTATTGAAACTTAAAAGCAGGATTCTCAAGTTTACTCTATTAGACTCCTATTTCTGTATAAAGTGATTTACTCATCCATGAATTAAACAGTCATTGAAAAAAATCTGGACAGTTATGTCAAAACCCTTCTCTCTTTTCATTATTTAAATAAAAATGTATTTAAATGAGAGTCTAAACAACAAAAAACAAACTTCTGAAAGTTTTACACACTAAAATGTACTGGAAGAACGCCAAAATTTTTGGTTTCAGATTCCAGTGGTTAAGTCACTGTTAGTTTCTAGGGATCTTATCTCAGATCTTTTCTTTTGCCTAGACCCTACACTAGCATATTTTTCCCAGAACAGACCTTTTCTTTTTCAGGAAAAGTAAGTGAATAGCTAACACATGCTTGTGATCACCATGTATTCACTTCTTGGACAATTTAAAATGTTGTTTGGGGAAAGACAAACAAGTAATTTCTGCCCTGTAAGTTATTTTTAAGTGACTCAAGAACTCATTCTCATAATAATCCTGTCCACTCACATACAGTCCATCTTTGGAAAGAAAAAGTTCACAAATAAACAACTTGTGTTATGTTATCAGGTTGGCTCAATCTGAATTTGTGCCTAGCACACTTTTGAGCACTCAAAAATAACAACTATACAAATTCTTTTGCCGGTCAAAAGCTTCAAAGTCATCAAGGAGAAATGGGAGCGACATGTTAAACTGGACACTTTGGAAAACTATCTGCAACAGGAGGTTAATTTACACAAAACTCAGCTACATGTTTAGAAAAGAGCCTTGGAAATGTAAACGAGACAAATCTCTTTAATCACATTCAGTCAGCTGGTTGCTAAAAGAAGCTTTTCAACGTACCCTTTTTATCCGGGTTTCTTCGAACCATTTTTTCCACCTGAGAAATGGCCTCTTCCCAGCAGCTGTTGCTTGCCTGGATGTGAGGCTGAATCAGCTTTAGTTTCTGTTCTAGGACTTGATAGGCTTCTAAAGTTAGTTCTTGTGTCTCCTTAGAGCTAACAAGTTTTTCAAGTTCATCCTCAAGAATTATTACCCTAGATGAATGGGAAGGAAAATATCACACTAACATATCTGAATCTCGTACTTCATGATTTCTTCAGGCTTTGAATTTAATTGGAATTTAATTTGAATTTAATTGTGTTACTCCTGTTTCCTCCATGTTCTTAAACTGTAGTTTAGCCAGCTTCATATGTTTTTAAAGCCAAACTCCTCCTCTCCTCCATTCTCATTATGGTAATCCATTAAATTTAGATGGCTTTGTGTTATTTCACTAACTGTACCAATGAAAAATCTTTTTAGGTATATAACATATAATTATTGTGTGTTGAATATTCTTTCAAAATGTTTGGAATTTTGTTGCAAAACAGACAAAACTGAACCATGCTTTCAGGTTCATTCAAAAAGAGGGACTAAAGAGATGGAGGGTTTTAATGAATCTTTTTGCCTTCTAGTTCACCTTCAAGGGGGTGGTAGCACCACAGAATATCTAAAGATTAACCAATCAACTACAGTAACCAACTCCATGTAGGACAGAGAGATTTTGGCTTCACAATACTTGGCAATGTGTGTGGCTGTTATAGTTTAAAGCTCAGATCCTATGGTGACGGGCACAGTATCAGAACCTGAATAGAATGGAATCCTTCAATTCCAGTTGAAAACTTCTAATTCCAGTCATCTCCTCTTAAAACGGATGCAGGCTGCTCTGAGCAACAGTCACCTCAATTAAATAAATTCTGTAACAGAACAGACTTGTTATATGTGCAATCGCTTATACGAAAGGGAAAGGCAGCTGGTCAGACCCCTCTGGATTCCCAGAGAGCTGCTAACATTGACCCTATTATATAATTCTTCAAAATATCTAATTCACAAGATTGTACCTCACTCATGTTGCTCCTTACTAAATAAGGGACACTAGTTAAATATCTTCCTCCAGTTGTGGAATATACACCAGAATTGTTTCCCAGTTGGCAAACTCTGTTTAATATATGGGCAGGGAAGCAGAAGCAGAAATATAACCCAGTCTACATTAACAGATATACCCCATCCTTTATGTTGCATGGCTGCAAGCCTCAATTTTGTCTTTTATTTTCCAATCTGGGATATAAACCAACAATCAAAGCAGCGCAAGACTGAAGCTTTCTAACTACAGGCACATTCTTTCAAATAGTATAAACTTACTCATTCAGTAGGGCCTTGAGATGGAGCTGCAAGCTGCGCACGGCTGTGTGAAGGCTGTTCAGAGCTCTTGACTTGGGTTTTGTTTTGGTTGCACATTCCAAGCCTAACTGATGCTGAGTTTCAAAGTACCGATAAAACTCATAGCTTCGCTTAAGCTCTTCTAAGCAGGCAGCATGAGTTTGAGGTAGACTTTGAGTCACATCAGACAAAATACAATGAGGCAAACGTTCTGGAGTGATCAAGGGCTTGGGGGATGCATTAACTGGAGAGAGCAGCAGTGCTAATCGTCTGAAGAACTCTGAACTCTGTCCTACCCACAGCTGAAACAGAACCTACAAAATACAGAAAGGATCAAATGGTCTTCATTGTTAAAAAACATTAGCATTTCTTAATTCACTATTAAAAACATTTTGTCCCCTTTTTAAACAATTTTATCTTCTCCCACAGAATATATGCTCAGCACTGTGTGCCAGGGAGCATACGAGAAGGTCATATTAGTCTGGGTGTCTCACACTTTATGTGACTGTAAATTCCTTCAGTGAGGGTCTCACGTGCTCCCTTACACACAAAAGGCTTTCAGGGGTCCAACGCATCATATCCCCACTTTGGAAAATACTCCTTTGCCCATATGCCAGACTCACTAGTTAGGACAGTCTCTGACTACCCTAGGGCAGATAAGGAGTGGCCAAGATTCCAACAGCAGGATGTACATTGCTCTGAAGAAGACTCTTCCCTCATAACTTGGAGTTGTCATTTCTATGACGTTGTTACTGACTACTATATCCCTCCCCCCAGCATTGAAATGATAATCCATTAGCACTATATATTAACAACATATACTTTGAAATCCTAAGAAATCTGAGCTGTTGACTTACTGTTTTATGCGCAAAACTGAGCAACTTCACAAATACTATTAAAATGTGGAAACATTGATAAAGGCAGAACAATGGAATAATCTCTTCACATCATTATTTATGGTAGCTGTCAGGTCACTCACTCTGGCAGTGAAAAAGAGGAATCGTTCTGTTCACATTTCTCCAGAATCTCAAATTGAACTATGAAGCAAAACCCATTTTTGTCGTACCCTTGAGTGCTCCTCTATATGTCTACAGAGAAGCATAGGTTACTTCATGACCAGCCAACATTATTTTAAAGGTGTTAAACTGTGTCTACACTAAGTGCTAATGGGGATGTCAAATCATCTTACATAACTAAAACAAACAAAACATTTTCCTAAACTAGACAAGGCCCATGTCTCAGAAAACTGTCACAGTAGCACCTTTCTGGGCAATGCCTTTTTTATAAAAAGGAGAAGGATAGTACTTTTAACCGTTACACCAGCCCCACACACAGTCTATGTCTACAATACCACTTATGCCAGTGATGCTTATGTTGCTTAGGGGTGTGAAAAAAAACCCACATCCCTGAGCAACATAAATTTTGCTGGTGTAAGTGGTAGTGTGCACAGCGCTATGTCGGTGGGAGCGCTTCGGTACAGCTGTGCCACTGTAAGCTCGCTAGTGTAGACATGGCCACAGAGAGATCAGAATTGGGCTAGTATGGAGTGTGATCTGAGATTGATTCCCAAGGGCCACAACTGGTCAAGTTACTCAATCTTATTTTCTCATCTGTAAAAGAGGGACAATATTTAGTTCACAGGTAATGTTCTCTAACCTTCTGATATTCTGGGCGGAAAGGCCTTATATGAGTGCAATTATAGATCATTTCCAGTTGTAAATGGGTAGTGGTCTTTCCAGTACATGAACTGTCAAAAGGAAAATGTCCGTAATAGTGACACACTTAAGGATATGCAACCACCACATATGACCATGTTCAGTGTGGTAGCTATATTGGTTGCAGAATATTATGAAGTAATATCTTTTGTTGGACCAACTTCTGTTGGTGAGAGAGAGAAGCGTTCGAGACCTGAAGAAGAGCTCTGTGTAAGCTTGAAAGCTTGTCTCTCTCTCACCGACAGAAGTTGGTCCAATAAAAGATATTACCTCATCCACCACGTCTCTCTAACGTATGATCACAGTCAGGGGCTCAGATACCATGGTGATGAGCACCATTATAAGAACTTAGTTGGTTGGACTGATAATCATTCCAAAACACACATCTTCCTAATAGCGTGAATAACTTTAGGGAGCTGCTGAGCAATATATTCACCTGGAAAACAGATTATTGCTCTGTAATATAAAGAATTGAAAAGATGACTGCTTCCAGGTGTAGGAGTTATCTGAAGGTAACACTTAGAAAGATATGAATTTAACACAGGGGCAAGTGCTACACAACACAAACTTCCTACTCATCACTGTATTCAACACTGGGGTTTGGCTGGGTATTATAAAGAATGCCAAATGAAAAGGAGGCAGCCTGAGGAAAGAGTATCATCACACAGCTCAGAGCAAGAAGTCAGAGCTTAGGAGTTAAACATAAAAGGAGGACAGGCCCATATAAACAGAATATAAGGAGAAAATAGTGAATGACTAACAGGCAGCCCACAAAAGTAGAGAACTTTGGTAAAAGAGCAATTCAAAACCTACCTGGAAAAAGGCATGTGGGCCAGAGAAAAGGGAATCCAGAACATGTTTAGGGTAGCAATTGACCTTTCTAGTCAAGAACAAGCTTTGTCTCTTTTTATTGGCAGATATTTGGTTGCTAGGATGCAAAGATACTTGCCCCAAATTACCCTAGATACTTTCCTCTGGATAGAATCAATGTTTGTTTTGTGATGAGGATTTATTCACATACCAAGTACTTTTACTCTGTCAACTGTTCTTGTCTGAGGAGAGTTTCCTCACCCACAGGCTGAGACACAACACAAAGTTACAGATATATTCAATAAGGATAAGTGCAGGGTCCTGCACTTAGGACGGAAGAACCCAATGCACAGCTACAGACTAGGGACCGAATGGCTAGGCAGCAGTTCTGCGGAAAAGGACCTAGGGGTGACAGTGGACGAGAAGCTGGATATGAGTCAGCAGTGTGCCCTTGTTGCCAAGAAGGCCAATGGCATTTTGGGATGTATAAGTAGGGGCATAGCGAGCAGATCGAGGGACGTGATCGTTCCCCTCTATTCGACATTGGTGAGGCCTCATCTGGAGTACTGTGTCCAGTTTTGGGCCCACTTCAAGAAGGATGTGGATAAATTGGAGAGAGTCCAGCGAAGGGCAACAAAAATGATTAGGGGTCTGGAACACATGACTTATGAGGAGAGGCTGAGGGAACTGGGGAGTTTGGTCTTCAGAAGAGAAGAATGAGGGGGGATTTGATAGCTGCTTTCAACTACCTGAAAGGGGGTTCCAAAGAGGATGGCTCTAGACTGTTCTCAATGGTAGCAGATGACAGAACGAGGAGTAATGGTCTCAAGCTGCAGTGGGGGAGGTTTAGGTTGGATATTAGGAAAAACTTTTTCATTAAGAGGGTGGTGAAACACTGGAATGCGTTACCTAGGGAGGTGGTAGAATCTCCTTCCTTAGAGGTTTTTAAGGTCAGGCTTGACAAAGCCCTGGCTGGGATGATTTAACTGGGAATTGGTCCTGCTTCGAGCAGGGGGTTGGACTAGATGACCTTCTGGGGTCCCTTCCAACCCTTATATTCTATGATATAGGTTAGACATGCTTGAATGACAAAGAAACATTAAAAGATATCTGGATGTGTATACATATTTTGCTGAAATGCACTATATTAGAGGTTTTCTGGAGGAAGCTAGCACCCAAGAGGACTATGCACAAATTTAGGATTCGCAACACAAATGTTGAACTGATTTTAGTAAAATTGTTTAAGTCTATTTTGTTACACTGGTGAAAATCCAAAAGCAAAATTGGCTTATATTGATACATTTTGTTCAATTATTTCACAGCCAGGTTACAAGATGATTGGTTAACGAATTAAGCTAAAATTGATATAAGACAGTTATTAACTGATTTTAAGTGTCCACAATGGGGTTTGCAGTGGTTTAAATCAATTTAAAAATTGATTTTAGTTAAACCAGTGAAAGATGCATATAAACAAAGCCTGGGTTTGGAAGCATTTACAAATTATGACAATTATGGCTTCTGCTGCCCAACGAAGAGTGGAAAAGTAACTTGGTCTGCATAATTCCTACTAGAACAGCAATTTATGAAAACCAAAGGCTACCATTTAGCAAAACTGTCTATTCAAAATTAAGCCTCAAAGCTTATCAGTCACTATTACTGACAATATTTACTGCCAAGACAAAAGAAATTAAGTTCTGAGATTACTGAACAAAATATAAATAAAACTCACACAAAAGTCAAACAATAATGAATTTTTCTAAGATAATAAAACAAAAAAAATGCCTGATTTGAAAATCCGACTTTTGAAGAGATGGGATCTTCTTTCAATAGCACACATTTACTCATGCAGACTTGGGATATTCAATATCTCAAAAGAAGAAAGACTCAGACTCAAAGGCCAGAAGGGACCATCATGTCATCTAGTCTGACTTCCTGCAAATTGCAGGCCACAGAACTTCACCCATCCATTTCTGTAATAGGCCCATAACCTCTGGCTAAGTTACTGAAGTCCTCAAATTTTGATTTAAAGACTTCAAGTTACAGAGAATCAAACATTCAATTCTCATATTAATCGCCATCTTCTCCAATGTAACTAATAATTTCCCAGGTGGAACTGTATCAAATGCTTTACTGAAATCCAGGTAAAATAGATCTACTGCATTTCCTTTGTCCACAAAATCAGTTATTTTCTCAAAGAAAGAGATTGGGTTGGTCTGAACGATACCTTTTGTAAAACCATGCTGTATTTTATCCCAATCATCATTTACCTCTATGTCCTTAACCACTCTCTCTGTCAAAATTTGTTCTAAGACCTGACATACAATTGAGGTCAAACTAACAGGCATTACAGTTGCCCAGATCATGTATTTTCCTTTCTTAAATATAAGTACTATGTTTTCAGTCATAGGGTATGTTGTCCAAGTTTATGTATTCGTTGAAAATCTTTCCTATGGGGCTTGCAATTTCATGTGCTGGTTCCTTTAATATTCTTGGATGTCCCATTAAGCTGATTGAATTTGGCTTTTAGCTTGTATGTGGTAATTTCTACTTCCATATCCTAGTTCCCATTAGCCATGTTGCCACTGTCACCAAACTCCTCATTACTCTTATTGAAAACTGAGGCAAAGTATTCATTTAGGTGCTAGGTCATACCTAAATTTTCTTTAATCTCTACCCAATACTCAGTGCTTAGTGGTCCAACTTCTTTTCTTTCCTTGTTTTCTTTTTATTTATATGGTTAGAGAATCTTTTATTGTTGGTTTTAATTTCCTTTGCAAGGTTCAGCTCTGCTTGGCTTTTGGCAGATCTCACTTTTTCCCTACAACTTTCTAACCTGCAAGAGGCAGTTTTCCTTGCTGATCCATCTCTTCTTCCATTCCTAGTTGGCTTTCTGCTTTCTCTTAATAACCTGTTTGAGGTGCCTGTCCATCCAGTTTGAACAAATTTCACTTCCCTGTGATTTTTTGCCCTTGCTGGGGTGCAGGCTCCAGATACTGTAAGTCAAAGTTCCATAAGCTAACTCCAAGCCTCCTCCACATTCAGATACTTGAGTTCTTCAGTCCAGTCCACTTCCCTTACTAATTCCCTTAATTGTTTAAAGTTTGTCCTTTTGAAATCAAGGACTCGAGTTACCCACCTATTTTTGTGAATCCTTCCATTTAGTTTAAACTGAGTTAAATCATGATCATTCTAGCCAAGGTTGTCCTCTACAGCCAGTTCTTCTCTGAGGTCCTCACTACTTACCAATACTAAATTCAAAATGTCATCCCCTCTTGTTGGTTCAGTGACTATTTGGTGAAGAAATCTGTCAGCTATCATATCCAGGAATATCTGTGCCCTACCATTATTAGTAGCACTTGTCCTCCAATCTACATTTGGGAAATTAAAGTCTTCTATAATCACACAATTCCCAGTAATATTTATTTAATTAAAAATATTAATGAGATCTCTTTCTATATCCAAATCAGACCCTCAGGATCTGTCGCAGATCCCAAGTGCTATCCCGGTGGAGCGTCTGTTACCTTTCTTCCCCAAAGTGATTTTGACTCAAAACAGATTTTGTTTTATCCATTCCATCACTTCTAATTTCTTTTCAGTCTACTCCTCATTAATATACAACGCTACTCCACCACCTTTACCTTTATTTCTGTCTTCACTGAACAGCACATACCCATCAATACCTGCCTTTCATGGTGGAATAGGAGTTATCACTATAATATCTGGTTTCACTTTCTGCAGCAGTAGTTCTAGTTCCTTCATTTTGTTACATAGGCTCCTTGCATTGGTGTGCAGACATTTTAGTTGTTTCTGCTTGGCTTCATTCAGATTCCTCACCTGATGAGGTACAGTCATTTTACTACCAGTATCGCCTACCTGGCTGTTACTGTCATTGGGATTAACACTATCTTTCCTCTTGTCCATTCTCCTACCCTCTGTTTTTCTTCTCTCCATTGCTGTATCCTCTTTTACTTGATTTTCCTCCCACTCAATATTAGAATTAGATGTGGAGATTAAATGAGCATCTCCCAATCATCTTGCCCAAATTCCTAGTTTAAAGATCATTAGACGTCTGCCATTCTGTTTAGTTAAACATTTTTCAGAAATCAAAGTAGCACACTGATTCATGATGCTTATGAGTGTCCAGCTTATGAACCCTAGAGCATAAATAAATGCGGCTTTTTCAATTTTCAATTACCAGCAATGTACATCTTTGGAATGTCTCTCTTTTTGTTCAAGTCAAGATGAGTAGCAAGGGATTAGCCAAGAGACATGTACAAATTGAGAAATTACTTTATGGACTTTTTCATCATCACTGATTAAATTAAATCATAGCTTTAAATACAACATTTGGGAAGAGACTGATTTGTGAATGGCAATTTTTTTTATTAAATAAAAGAATGATTTAGACAACTCAACACCCCATTCTGCACTGCACATCATTTCTTTAATTAAATGTTAAATGAAATCCTCTGAAAAGCCAATAGTTGTAAAAATATGCAAGATGAGCTTCTGGAGCATTCACGAATCTCACTCAGGGCTCTTTAAATGTATTCTATTACTACAGACTGACACAAGTAGGGGAGAAAAATAAGATATCTGAAACAAGAAACAGCAGGGCATTGTCACAACTGAAATGGATTTGCATGAGTCTGTATACATAAGCATGCACTCTCCCTTCTAGGATGGATTACCTTGAGTGCAGGCAAGCTGAAGCCATCTGTGAGGTTGTGCGCCTCCTCTTCGGACACCTGCTCTTCACTCAGACCCAGACCCAGTTCCTTAAAAGGAACTACACAGATATAGTTGGTCACGTTGTCACTCTCCGCATTCAGAGGGTAGGTTTAGTCAGAGTTAAAGCAGTTAACAAAGAAGCCTTTGTACTAAATGGAGGGTGGGGAGACAGGCAAAGCAACTAATAATCTCCAGTTACTAAGGATCTTTCTGGCAAGTTACTGGAGAGCACATGCAGTCCAAGTCCAGTTTTAAGTGATCATCGTACAACCTTACTCATTGTATAAGTTTTAAAGGCTCAAATGTGTACAATAAGTTGTAGACAAAGGTACTGAAACAATAAAGATAATAAACAGCTAATAAATCATCGCTGCATTCCTTTTAATTGAGGAAATCTCTGCCAAACCATCAACAAGCTAGTTCACAATAAACTTTAATGACAGCCTTAAAATTAAAAAGTACACGTTCAACAAGTTAAGAGCAATACTGCCAGAGACAAGAAAATTTTGGGTAATGAACGTTTCATGGTTTGTGTGTTTTATAGAAGACAGGATAACCAGGATAGGAGATTTCCCTATGAATTATTTTTTGTGGAGAATGATCAATGTTAAAGCAAATCACATATCTGCAGGTTTTTAAAAAGTAATTCTTTGAAATTTCTTACATGAATAGTAGACAAACCCAAATTTTTACATTGCTGATGCATAAAATTGATCAGTCTCACAAATTTCTCAGCTATAACATGGTGTATAGTAAGATTGCATATCACTAAAACTTAATTTAATACACTTTGTGAACGTATTTCAGAGGAACAGCCGTGTTAGTCTGTATTCGCAAAAAGAAAAGGAGTACTTGTGGCACCTTAGAGACTAACCAATTTATTTGAGCATGAGCTTTCGTGAGCTACAGCTCACTTCATCAGATGTATACCGTGGAAACTGCAGCAGACTTTATATACACACAGAGAATTTGAAACAATACCTCCTCCCACCCCACTGTCCTGAAGCCCTTGAGGAATTCCACCATGATTTCAACAATTTCCATCCCACCACCAACCTCAGCCTGGTCCAGTCCACACAAGAGATCCACTTCCTGGACACTACAGTGATAATAAACAATGGCCACATAAACACCACCCTATACCGGAAACCTACTGACCGCTATTCCTACCTGCATGCCTCCAGCTTTCACCCTGACCACACCACACGATCCATCGTCTACAGCCAAGCTCTGCGATACAACCGCATTTGCTCCAACCCCTCAGACAGAGACAAACACCTACAAGATCTCTGTCAAGCTTTCTTACAACTACAATACCCACCTGCAGAAGTAAAGAAACAGATTGATAGAGCCAGAAGAGTTCCCAGAAGTTACCTACTACAGGACAGGCCTAACAAAGAAAATAACAGAACGCCACTAGCGGTCACCTTCAGCCCCCAACTAAAACCCCTCCAACGCATTATTAAGGATCTTCAACCTATCCTAAAGGATGACCCAACACTCTCACAAGTCTTGGGAGACAGGCCAGTCCTTGCCTACAGACAGCCCCGCAACCTGAAGCAAATACTCACCAACAACCACATACCACACAACAGAACCACTAACCCAGGAACTTATCCTTGCAACAAAGCCCGTTGCCAGTTGTGCCCACATATCTATTCAGGGGACACCATCACAGGGCCTAATAACATCAGCCACACTATCAGAGGCTCGTTCACCTGCACATCCACCAATGTGATATATGCCATCATGTGCCAGCAATGCCCCTCTGCCATGTACATTGGTCAAACTGGACAGTCTCTACGTAAAAGAATAAATGGACACAAATCAGATGTCAAGAATTATAACATTCATAAACCAGTCGGAGAACACTTCAATCTCTCTGGTCACGCAATCACAGACATGAAGGTCGCTATCTTAAAACAAAAAAACTTCAAATCCAGACTCCAGCGAGAAACTGCTGAATTGGAATTCATTTGCAAATTGGATACTATTAATTTAGGCTTAAATAGAGACTGGGAGTGGCTAAGTCATTGTGCAAGGTAGCCTGTTTCCTCTTGTTTTTTCCTCCCCCCCCCCCCCCCCCCCAGATGTTCTGGTTTAACTTGGATTTAAACTTGGAGAGTGGTCAGTTTAGATGAGCTATTACCAGCAGGAGAGTGAGTTTGTGTGTGTATGGGGGTGAGGGGGATGTGAGAAAACCTGGATCTATGCAGGAAATAGCCCGACTTGATTATGTAAAGAGTTGTCACTTTGGATGGGCTAGCACCAGCAGGAGAGTGAATTTGTGTGGGGGGGTGGAGGGTGAGAAAACCTGGATTTGTGCTGGAAATGGCCCACCTGTTGATCACTTTAGATAAGCTATTACCAGCAGGACAGTGGGGTGGGAGGAGGTATTGTTTCATATTCTCTGTGTGTATATAAAGTCTGCTGCAGTTTCCACGGTATACATCTGATGAAGTGAGCTGTAGCTCACGAAAGCTCATGCTCAAATAAATTGGTTAGTCTCTAAGGTGCCACAAGTACTCCTTTTCTTTTTGTGAATGTAGTATACCAGAGTACCTACTTCTGTAGTAGCTACAATATATTATTGTCAAACGATAAGTCAAAATAAATGAAAGCATATTTTGTGATGCAGTATCTTTGTTACATTATATTCACGTACTTAATCATTTGCAAAATGAGGTGATTACCAATGGGTTTCACAGTTATCAGCATGATCATACAAATACTTAAGAACGTGCTTACCCTTATGCATGTGGGTAATCCCATTGAAGTAACTGCTCAAATGGGACTTCTCAGAGGCACAAAGTTAAGCACACAGAAAAACGCTTGCAGGCTTGGGGCCTTAAGGACTGATTCAAAGCACACTGAAATTAGTGGGAGTCTTTCTATTGACTTCAATGGGCTTTGGATCAGATCCAAAGGGTTATGTCTACACTGATATTAAAAACCTATGGCTAGCCCATGCCACCGGACTCAGGCTAAAGGGGCTGTTTAATTACAGTGTAGACATTTAAGCTCTAGTACCCTGTGAGAGCACAGGGACCCAGAGCTCAGGCTGCAGCACAAGCCCAAATGTCTACACTACAATTAAATGGTCCCTTGGTCTGAGCCCTGCAAGCACTAGTCAGTTGGCTTGAGCCAGCCAAGGGTTTTTAATTGCAATGTAGACATACCCTTAGTGAGTTTCTACTGTAATACTTATATCTGCAGGTTCCCTATCTCAACACCAATTATTCAGGTTTCTCCAAAAATAGCATGTGTGCCTGTTTTTTTTGTTTGGGAAGATGAGGGGTACAAACTATATCAGAGAATCATGCTACCAGGTTTATATCACCAGAAATACAGGTGTTTTAATGTACCGTGAATAGTGAAGTTGGGCATAAAGGGTGAGGTCTCTGTTGAATGAGGCTATAGTTATGCAGTCACATTTTAAATTTTCCTTCTAGCAAACAAGCTATTTTCCACTTGATTTTTGAAAACTTAAAATACTTAACTCTGCTAAAGACAGTAACGGGCTTCATAAACCATCTGTGCCAATTTATAGGAAACTGCTAAGATCATCCAAATTCTATAGACTACATAATAGATGCAGTACTTTTCAATGTATTGTATTGCACAGAAAAAAAGAACATACCTTCATCTACCAAAAAGCCTTTGTAGGAAAATATTCTTACGAATATAGAAGCTAAATAAAGTTTAATGTCAATAAATACAAGAATGGTGAAGTAGAAGTAATGAACCATAGCATTAAAGGATGGCAAATCCTCCATAGGGTCAATGATACTATACAAATCTGAAGTAAACATTTTTGTGGCAAGTCAATGGCTTCACTACCACAAAAAATTTAGGAACAGCTGGAAAACTGGAGGGTTTTGCGAGGCTATATATAGACAAGCAATGATGCAAATAACAGGATATCAAGAGTAACATTTCAGTTCCAAATTATGTCAGGTTACAACCACAATACTGAAGTAGCACCCTATAGTCCTTTTTTCAACTGCAAGGCTTTAATGTTATCAAAAAATCACAATATAGATGTTGAAGTACCTCACAGCAAAGTCATATTGTTTTGGGTTATATTAGTGTATGGAATCTTGTCTTTAAAATGAAGTGAATCTAACACCTTTGCTACTAAGGGTAATGTACTTTCTAAAAATGGAACAAAACAGTATATTCACATTAAATCTGTATACAAATACTGGCATCTTGACTATTCAAATTCTGTTCTATTCTGCACTATTTTAAATAGGTTCTTATTCTGCTCTCAGCGTACACACATATCTGAGCAACTTCCAGTGGTGTATTACAGGACATGACTTCCATCTGTCACATGTGGTTCATTCTCTCTCATCCTCTCCGAAGCGGGAGATAAGTTAGAGAAGGCAGGTTGAAGAAGTGCACATTGCTCTTGGAGCAGAAGGTGGTGAGGTTTGTGATGGTCCTTAGTTCCTGTGAGAGTTTGTTCCACAGTCTCAAGCAAGCCTCCAAAAAAGTTCTGTCTCCTGAACTGACAAGCTTTACCCTTATAGTAGAGAATTCCACGCTTTAGGACCAGAGTTGTCAACCATGGCCTTCATCCTGGAAACGTAGGTGATATTTTAGGTATTCTGGACCCAGGCCATGGAGTACTTCGAGGGTAACTCAGAACTTGACTTGATATTCTATGGGAAACTAGCGTTGAGAGAGGACAACAATTTTAATGTGTTTGTGGTAGCCTGTGTTGCTGAGCAGACATACTGCTGTATTCTGTATTAGTTGGAGTTGCCTAAGCAATGAAGGCTTCATACCCAGGTTATGATGGTGCACCCCATAAGGCTTTATAGAAATATGCTTATGAATGTATATATGACATAACTGCAATATGTTTTATGCTACATATGCCATGTAACATATCTATGTAAAGGTTATGATCTACTGAATAGATTCATCCTATTTGTATGCATGTGTCTTTGTTGTATTCAAAGTTATGAATATTGGCCGTATACTTGCTTGATTTTAAATAATCTTAATAAGGTATTTGGTCAGCTTCTTTAGAAAGGAATTTGCAAGTTAAGTGCCCAGTCAAGAAGCACTTAACCGACAATGGATCTTGGAAGGTTCCA